GGATGCCTGGGTGGCTTAGTCAGTTGACTCTTGATTTCAGCTCAGGTCATGATCTCAGGGTTGTGAGATGCAGCCCCATATCAGGGTCCACACTCAGTGCAGAGTCCGCTTGTCCCTCTCCCTCCCCTCTGCTCCACCCCCTCTGCCCACTTCTTGGCACACATGCGCGCGCTCTCTCTCTCTCTCTCAAATAAAATAAAATAAAATAAAATGACAGTAACATAATTCAGATAGTAAAAAATGTTAACTTTTTGGTGATTACAAAAACAGGCCTTAAAAGAAAAGTTTATTAACCCAGTGCTACATTAAAGACAGTTTAAGAAAAAATGTTCACTCAATCTAACCAGCCTGATAAACTACTTTTCTAAACACATTCTCTTCCAACCCTTATTCATAGTATCTGTATTTTTATGAAGTTGTAAACATACTGTATACATAATTCTCTGTTCCAATATTTTCAGGTCATATTATTTTATAACTATTTTTCCTTATTACTTAATTTTTGAATTACTTAAATTTTCTTTTAAAGATTTGATTTTCTGATGTAAAAAGTATAAGCAGCAATAATGCTGAATTTTAAAAACACAACGTTGAAAACAATCCCATTTACAACTGTACCAAAAATAATAAAATACCTAGGAATAAACTTAACCAAAGAAAGACCTGTACTCTGAACACTATAAAACACTGATGAAAGAAACTGAAGAGGACACGAATAAATAGATATTCCATGCTCATGGATTGGATGAACCAATATTATTAAGATGTCCATACTAACCCGAAGCAATCTACAGATTTAATGCAATCCCTATCAAAATACCAACATTTTTCATAGAGTTAGAATAATAATGAACGAAACACACATACATACAATATTGAGCAATTTTCATAATCTTCTATTTGAATGTTGTATTTAATAGCATATTAACAAGTTATTCCAACATATTTTTGGGTAGGAAGTTAAGAAGTTAAACTTTTTTATAAATGTTTTTTGTGCTTTTCTCTATGAATGCTATATTCCACATGAAAAAACATGCTATTATTCAAACAATGCAGAAATAGCATGGAAAATGGGGGCCTCCTGTTAATTCCACTCCCCCCAAAAAACCACTGACTACAATTTGCTGAATATTCATCCTGGCTAAACTCCTTACTCAGAGGAGGAAATAATTCCGTAGTTTGCTGCCACATAGTGGTAAAATAAGCAGCACTGCCCATTAACACTGTGAAGAACTTGATAGCCATTACCCTAACCCAACAAATATTTGCTGAGCTACTTATGCTCAGTGCTGCGCTAGGCACTAGGCATCTGAAGATGGTCCCCGTCTTGGAAGGACTTGGAGGAAGGCTGACAAGCATACAAATAACTGACTAAATGACAATGTTATAACCGAGACAAAAATTTAAGTATGGCAGAACAGGGATTTCTCGCCAGGTTTCACCGAGGAGGTGACATTTGAGATGGGTTCTTCAAGTGTGCTGAAATGTCCACAGGTGGGAATAAGAAAGACCATCCCAGCAGAGAGCACAGCACAGCACATGAAAGGACAGTGCTTTCAGGGACTACTGAGAAGGTCACTCAACTTGGAGCCTGGTGTATGGAGAAGGAAGAGAGGAGTGTCACACAGAAGACAAGCCACTGTGTGCTCTTAAGTAGGGAAGGGATCAGAATGGCTTAAAAAGACAAAGTCTGAAGAACATCTAAAATGTTCCTTCCTCACAATAAATCTAGTTTTATGTTTAAATTCCATGGCATCTTCTATGAAAATGTATGCCATTAAAGGCAAATAACTTTATAAGAAAACATGAGCATTAATGTTTCCTTTAAGGTATACTGTGGAAATCATATTCACACCACTCTTAAATAAATCATTCTGTAGTTGTGATTCCTTTGCTAGTACATTTTAAGCCTCGAGGAACACCCAGCAGATGTGCTATAGTACTGGGGTAGCTAGCCTCCAAAATGGCACTCCCCAATAATATTGACCTCCTGATAGTCACACTTCTGTGTCATCCCTTCTCACAATGAATAAAGCTAACCTTTGTGACTAATAGAATGTTGTTGAAATGGTGTGTAACTTCTGTGGCTGGGCCATCAAAGTCATCAAAGCTTCTATTTGGGGCTCCTGGGTGGCTCAGTCATTAGGCGTCTGTCTTCGGCTCAGATCATGATCGTAGGGTCCTGGGATCGAGCCCTGCATCGGGCTCCCTGCTTGGCGGGAAGCCTGCTTCTCCCTCTCCCACTCCCCCTGCTTGTGTTTCCTTTCTCACTGTGTCTCTGTCAAATAAACAAAATCTTAAAAAAAAAAAAAGCTTCTACTTGGCTGTCTCATGTGCTCATTCTGGGGAAGGACTACCACCATGCTGTGAGGAATGTTTAAGTAGCCTGGGGAGAAGCCCACATGGAAGGAATTGAGGCCTCTGGTCAACAACCAGAGCCTCTGGGTTAAGCCATCTTGGAAGTGGTTCCTCCCACCTCAGCCAGATATTCCAATGACTGCAGGCTCATGAGAGACTCCTGGCCAAAAGCACTCAGCCACATACAAGGCTGCTAAATTTCCGACCCATAGAAACTGTGAGAGAGTAAAAATGTAGTGTTTTAATACATTAAGTTTTGGGGTTAATTTATTATGCAGCAAGATAAATAACAAGAACTTTGCTTTCTTTTCACTGACTGGGGGGGCCAACATATTTAACAAATAAATTTATTAACAAGTAACAAAATTTCATCTTATATTTAAAAAATGACACAATGTTCATATTCATAGCTCTAGTATATGCTTTTGGACTTCATTTATTTTTTAAGATTTTATTTATTTATTTGACAGAGAGAGCACAAGCAGGCAAAACAGCAGGTAGAGGGAGAGGGAGAAGTAGACAGAAGTAGACTCTCTGCCGAGCAGGGAGCCCGATGCGGGGCTCGATCCCAGGACCCTGAGACCATGACCTGAGCCAAAGGCAGTCGCTTAACCGACTGATCCACCCAGGCGCCCTTGGACTTCATTTTATTTATTTATTTATTTTTTTTTTAAAAGATTTTATTTATTTATTTGAGAGAGAGAGAATGAGAGATAGCACGAGAGGGAAGAGGGTCAGAGGGAGAAGCAGACTCCCTGCTGAGCAGGGAGCCCCATGTGGGACTTGATCCTGGGACTCCAGGATCATGACCTGAGCCAAAGGCAGTTGCTTAACCAACTGAGCCACCCAGGCGCCCTGGACTTCATTTTAGACATGAAACTATGAAATAAGGCTTTTTTATGAGGGATTCTTTAATTATGTAAATCATCATGTATTGCTGGCAGATTACCACATCCTGTATTTTTTTTAGGAGGTTATGGGACTATAAAACTGACAGACTATATCATGCTTTTCGGTTATGCAAAACAATACTTACAGGAGAAACTTACCCTGGATCAGTACGAAGTTTGGCTTGTATAGAGACTTTTATGAACAAGTATTAAATGAGTAGGCAATTAAAGTCCTTTTTTGTGATTTTCAGAGATCAAATTTTAATTATTCAAATGTCCTTCCAAATGTCAAAGATTCTAAAATCATTATGTATGAAAATGTGTCATTAAATAAGTATTAAAAAATCCATTCCCTAACTGAGGGGAAAATGCTGCTTCAACAGGTACATATTTCCAAAGCTAAACTATACTGAACAAAACATGGATATATTATTTTTCATGATTTTATGTAGTCCACTTTTACAGTAAGATGTCATTTAAGTGTTTTTACACTTTTATATACTAAGGATTACAGATTCTTTAAAAATTCCCTTGAATGCATTTTTACAAATAAAATAAATAGCTACTTAAAAAAAAGTTCATGGCCCAAATTTATGGTGTGTTCTAGAAAACCTCAAGCAGAGAATTTAAAGTGGTTTCAAGCTGGTAGGGCCAGGTGGTTACAAAAACAAAAAGATATCTTCTCTAAACATGTTACTATTCGAATCTTTAAAACCCAAACCTTCATTGCCTCTACTTCCCAAAGAGTTACTGCTCCATTTATTTGACCCTGTATAATGGAAGTACTAGATCTGTTTCTACTTGATCTTGCCATTTCCTCTCCCAGTCTGTTTTAAACCCATTCAAATCCACTCCAAATTTTTTAAATTTTTTTAAGATTTTATTTATTTATTTGACAGAGAGAGAATGAGAGATAGAGAGCACGAGAGGGAAGAGGGTCAGAGGGAGAAGCGGACTCCCTGCTGAGCAGGGAGCCCGATGCGGGACTCGATCCCAGGACTCCAGGATCATGACCTGAGCCGAAGGCAGTCGCTTAACCAACTGAGCCACCCAGGCGCCCCTCCACTCCAAATTTTTGCCCCATCACTGTAAATGGCAATTTTATCTCCCTTCCTTGCTTAAGCCAGAAATCTTGGGATCATCTTTGACTCCTCTTTCTTCATACCCCGTATCTTTTCCTTCAGAAAAACCTGTTAGCTTACTTCCAGATCATAATCCAGAACCTGTCCATTCCTCACACTTTCTTTCCATTGCTACCACCCTGGGCTGAGCCACTAGCATCTTGCTAGCCTAGTTTACAAGAATAGCTTCCTCACTCACTGGTCTTCCAGCTCCTACTACAAAGTATCTCCAGTGATTCTTTTGAAATGTAAATAACCCTATTACTCTTCTGCTCAAAATGACTCCCCATGTCAGAATAAAAGTCCTTATAATGAGCAATCGGGCTTTACATCATCTAACTCCCCTTGTCCCATTCCCTACATCCTACCCTCTTAACTCACTTGGCTCCAGCCACTATGTCCGGATCTTACCACCCTCCCCACCACCCCACCCCACGTCTCAGCTCTTAGCGTAGTGTTCGGCACCTAGGTATTTTATTTTTCTAAAGGAATGAATCATCTGACGATTTTTATTTTCTGCGCAAAATACATATCCCAAATGGGGGATAACTTTCAAGGCCACCGGCTGGCAACGCTCGGACAGTTAGCGCTCATGAACTATTTGCTGAACGAACAAACGCACTCGGGCATACGTTCGTTCATTTCGGCGTTTATTTTAGTTAAAACTCCTAGCGTGGCTTCGGCTTAATGCCCCCAATGACCCCATCTCGCAGGCTCTACGGTCGCTGGTTCCCGCAGCCCGGAGGCAATTTTCTCCCCTTCTCTGCGCTGGGTAAGCTGCGTGGGAGAAGGGTGGAATGTTCGGATTGAGGCAAAGGTGCTTCCCAGGTACTCCAGGTCTAGACTTCCCTAAGGGGAATGAAGCGGCTAAGCTCGCACGCGGCTGGGTTCACCCGTGCGCTGTAAGCTGAGCACCCCACACACTTTTTAAGTCTACCCAAATTCACTCGCTAACACCCGCTCCCGGTGACATCACCGCCGCTCCGAACTCCTTATTGGAAGAGCTCAGTCGCTCAATTCTCGCGATGACTCCTGTTCCAGGTCCCCTTGTCTCCCTCCCATCGTCCCGACCCGGTAGTCAACAGACCACGTTGCGAGCCTTGGAGACATCGTAGAACTAGACCAGCTCCGGTACTCGTCTAGACGGCTGCGACTCTTCGTAGACGCTCACGGGCACAAGGTTTGGCTCCCACGCGTCCTGTCTGCTAGACCCGCGCTACCGCGCGACTCTCTTCGGCTCCGCTACTTTGCTAGGGCAGCTGGGCGATTCGCACCAATTCTCGTCCTTTGCTATCGCGAGAATTTGGCGGTTGCTACCGATTTCCGGTCGCTTAGGTCTCCACGGAGACAGCACTTTCGCCACTTTTTTCGGTCACCTGTGGCTCGCCGGACTCCATGTGGTTCGGAAATTTCCCAGAGAATGTTTGTGGGAGTCAGCCAGAAAGGTGTAGGTGGGAGTGAAGCAGCGGTCAAAAGGGAAACAGCCAGTGGGATTTAGGAGTACAACTTGCTGAGCATCTTCTGGCCACTTCTGGATCGTTGTTGTAGGGTGGGGACGAGATATTCCCCTATTGGGGAGGCCCAGTTCATTAAGACAAATGTTTAGGCATCCGTTGAGCACGCATAAACACCGGACCATTTTTTATGTAGTCTTGAGGGTTCCACGATCAAATCCTGCTGTAAACTTACTCACCGTTCACCAGAGAATAGTCTCCCTAGTTATCCGGCTCTATCCCTTCCTAAGGTTGTGTATTGGTCACTCTCCTAGGAAGTGATCCCCAATTATTACCCTAGATCTAAGCATGTCACTTTTCAAATTCTTCCCTTTTCTTGCCATTATACCTGTGTCCATTTTTATTACCATTTTCTGTTAAGTGGTTTTTCATATTCCATCGCTGTATCGATTTCTTACTTTGCAGATAGGCCATAGGTTCTTAGTGTCAGGACCAGCTTGTCACTTAGATATGGAATATACATACCAGGTAGTAAACTTTTCTGTTGTTAAAGGCATACACTTCTGACAGTGTTTGTTAATTTATTCATTTGTTTATTCATCCACGTGTTAAACATCCTACAATGCGTAGAATGACACCGCAATAGCAAAAAATTATCTGGTCCCAAATGCCAGGAGTGCTGAGGTTCAGAAATCCTGAATTCGACAATGCTTTAAACTCTTCTTTTTTGCAGTGGCTGCTATTAATTCTATTTAAAATGGGTGTAAAGAAGAAGAAAGAAATGCAAGTAACTGCGCTGACCATTTGCCATCAAGACCTTGAAACTTTGAGATGTAAGTGATTTCTGACATAATTTGTTTGCTTCTTTTCAGGGTTGCAGAGTATTTGTATCTCTGAAACTCACTATCACATGATGTTCAAACTCTTACTATTTAATTTTTCCATGTTCTTTATATTCAGTTTTGCATGTAAAATGGTTTCCTAAAAATTCTGTCTTCAGACTAAGTTCTGCCTGCTTTTTTTTTTTTTTTGGTTTATAAATACTTAGATTTTTCATAATGCATAACAAAGGCAAAGGCAAACTCATATCCATACATTTTGTTAAATCCTTAAAGAAATCTGTGTGTGTGTGTTATCTAGCTTTGGCTGATGTGGAAGGAAAGAATCTAGCTTCTTTGCTGTTACATTGTGTACGGCTCACGGATGGAGTGTCACAAATCCATTATGTTAAACAGGTAAGACTACATTGATATTAGGGTGCCTGGGTGGCTCAGTTGGTTAAGACTACATTGATATTCATGGATACGTCTTGAAGATTGGATGTTTAAAATTAACTGACAGTTTTTGGCTCCCAATTATTTAATATCAATGTATCATTAAGGAATAGGGTTTTTTTTTTTCCTTTTCTGTTCGTTATATAATCTCATTTTATTCAGAGTATTGGTAGAAGCCATATTCAGGCCTCCGCCACCATTGGAGCTCTAAAGAGATAGGACAGTGAGCCAACTGTGCATACCTTTTTTGTGGACATAAATTTTAAGAAATTATTTCTATTAATTTGAATCCTTACAACTTTTTAGCAGATACATTTAAAAGTTAATTTAAAATGTAAAGATTGTCCTTACTAGTATTTCAGTATTAGGATTTACCATTTGAACTTGCATAATTTTTTTAGAAAGCAATTAAATATATTATTGATTTTTCAGTAGTGCTACAGAATTCCTATACCTTAAGCCATTAACAAGTCTAATTCTTAATAGAGGTGGGTCTGGAGGGTAAACTGAGATTTGGGGATATGATTTAAAAAGATTAAAAAATACTAAAATAGGTGTTTAAATTGGTATCTATAACAATGCAGTGTAGAAAATATTACACGTTATAATTGAGACTTTAAAGAGTATTTGAAACTGTGTTACTTTGCTGTATATACTTGATATTAGAAAAAATTACAATGACTGAATTTTTTGGATTGTAGATTGTGCCTTTATTGGAGAAGGCAGATAAAAATGGCGCATGTGATCCCACTATTCGAAGTTGTTTGGATATTTTAGCAGGCATTTATCTTTCTTTGAGTGTAAAGAATCCCTTGAAGAAGGTCTTGGCAAGGTAAGGGAAAAAAGGAAAGGAAGTTAAGTATTATAAATGTTCAATTTGACCAAAAGTAACCAGTATTTAAAGTTCTCCTGGTTTGGTAAAACTGAACTGAAATGCGTCACTAACAATTTCATTTATATGGTCTCTGCTTTGTTTACTTATGTCAACTTTTTAAAAATGTTGAATGACTTTTTAGGTCACAGGCCTTAATAAAACCGGCTATAGGTTGTAGTTTGCTGACTCCTGGTCTAGTCCATTTACATTAATGCAGTTATTGGTTAAGTTTAATCTGTCATCTTGCTGTTTCTTTTTCCTCTGTTTTCTCCATTTGCTCTTAGTTTAAACCTATTTTTAATTACACAGGTAATACCAGAATATATGCTTGATGTAAAGACTTCAAGCAATATAGAAGTGAACAAAATAAGTGAGCCTTCTGTTTCACTCTTTCTGGCTTATCTTACTTTTTTTAGTAAAGGTCATCACTTAACATTTTTGTATCTATGTTTTTAGACCTTTCCTTTGGGTTTAGTGTGTGTATCATATTGTATTTTAGTTTTGATTTTTTTACATAAATGGGACTATACTTATTGCTCTGTAGCTTGTTTTTTCACTAAAGAATGTCTTAGAGATACTTTCATGTCAGCATAGTCCTTAATCTTTTTTTTTAATTGTGTGAAAAAACACACAACATAAAATTTGCCATCTTAACCATTTTTGAGTGTTCAGTATATTTACATTGTTGTGCAGTGGATCTCCAGAGCTTCTTCATCTTGTAAAACTGAAACTCTAAATATTAAGCAGTAAATCCCCATTTCTTCCTCTCCCTAGCCCCTGGCTACCACAATTCTACTTTCTGTTTCTATGAATTTGATTACTTTAGTTACCTCATATAAGTGGAATATTTGTATTTATCTTTTTTTGATTGGCTTATTTTACTTAGCATAATATTCTCAGGGCTCATCCATGTGGTAGCATGTGGCAGGATTTTTGTCCTTTTTAAGGCTGAATTACATTCCATTGTCCATATGTACCACATTGTATTCATTCATTCATCTGCTGATAGACATCTGGGTTGCTTCCTCCCCTTCACTGTTGTGAACAGTGCTGCTATGAACATGGGTCCGTAAATATCTCTTTGAGATCCTGCTTTCAGTTCTTCTGCATATATACCCAGAAGTGGGATTACTGGATCATATGGTAATTCTATTTTTAATTTCCCGAGGAACCTCCATATTGTTTTTCATAGTGTCTGCACTATTTTATGTTCCCACCAGAAGTCCTTATATTTTCCTACAGTTATAAATATTCCCATAATGTGGATATACCAAAATTTTTATGGACTCTGTTACATATTACTTAATTACTTTTCCACTGATATTTAGTTTGTTTTGTTTTCATTATTCCAACAATGATGCAGTGATATTCTTAATTACATATATGATTGTTATGTGTATTTCCCTGAGATAAATTCCTATAAGTGGAATTTCTTGACCAAAACCATTGCTAAACTGTACTCCCCCAAAGCTATTTCGGTTGATACTCCTGCTAACGTGAATGAGAGTGCCAGTGTCTTCATATCTTTCAAACACTGGATAATCTTTAAACCATTTAAAATCTAATGGGTAAAAAAATAATACTAGGTTTTACTTTTTATTTCCTAGATTACTAGTGAGATTGAACATTTTTTAATATGTGGAGTTTTACTATTTGTGATTATATATCTTTTGTATGTTTCCTTGTTAGAGTGTCCTTTCTTTTTCTTATTTAAGTAAATTTATTTAATGTGTCAAAAAGCAAGTGATCAGATACTGGCCAGTTCTAGGATTTTGGGAAGTAGTCAACAATGTCATTAAAGATCTTGATGTTTTCCATTTTTCTCCCATTTGTTGGCCATATCTTCTTTCAGAATTATAAGGGGGCTGTAGCAGTTACAGGCACCTTATACAGGCACGATAGCATCCAGAAAAAAAGAAAAGGAAATTTCTTCTTTTCTATCTCTTTTTATTGGAGAGAAAAAACATTTTGCAGAATGTCCCAGGAAACTTCCTATCACTTTTTGTTGTCAAGATTGGGTCATATACCCTCCTGTTTGTAAGAATAGCAGGGAAGCAATACTCTCACACCTTTAGCCTCTCTTATACCCATGCCAATAAAGAAAGGCATGGGTATAAGGGCTATATATAGATTATGTACCAAATATTCCTTTGTTTTATTACTGGTCTTTAAACTTTCTTTGTGGTGTGTTTGCTTTATAAAAATTACAAAATTTTTCTTGGTAATCAAACTCACTAGTATTTTTCTTTATATAGTTTTCTGAGTTTCATGCCTTCCTTATGGATGCTTTCTCTACTATAAAAGCGCATAAAATTACTTGCTTGTCTTTTCTTAAAATACTTCATCTGGAACTAAGTTTTGAGTGGAGTGTAAGTTAGAGATCCAATTTAGTTTTCTTTTCCATAATAGGGAACCACCTATCCCCAAACTTTTGAATAGTCCATCTTTCCTATGTATGTGGAATGCCATTTTATTATGTTCTGTGTTTCTGTATAAACATAGATTTGGTTTTAGACTTGGGTCTGTTTGTTTACTCACCAACATCACTCTTTTATTTACTATAGTTTGATAATGTAGTTTAATTGTATGCTGGAGCAAGTCACCCCTCTGGTGACTTTTCTTTTTCAGACTATTCCTATTTCTAAATTCTTTTTCTTCCAGAAGAGTGTTAGAACTGTTGAGTCAAATTTTTTAAAGAACACTTGCTGGTTTTCATTTAGATTAATTGAAGTAAAATTGACGCTAATTGAATTTATCTATTAAGTAAATGTTTATTGACTATCTAACTATATGTCAAGTAAGTGTTCTAGGCATTGAGGATACAGTGAATAAAACAGTTTAGAATAGAGGTTACATTTTTCTTTTTTTAAGATTTATTTATTTGAGAGAGAGAGTGAGAGCGCGGGGTGGGGGGAGGAGGGGCAGAGGGAGAGGGAGAGAGAATCTCAAGCACAGGGGCGCCTGGGTGGCTCAGTCGTTAAGCATCTGCCTTTGGCTCAGGTCATGATCCCGGGATCCTGGGATCAAGCCCCGCATCAGGCTCCCTGCTCTGCGGGAAGCCTGCTTCTCCCTCCCCCACTCTCCCTGCTTGTGTTCCCTCTCTCACTGTGTCTCTCTCTGTCAAATAAATAAATAAAATCTTAAAAAAAAAAAAAAGAATCTCAAGCAGACTCCCTACGAAGAGCCTGGTGCGGGGCTTGACCCCGTGACCCTGAGATCATGACCTGAGCCAAAATTAAGAGTCGGACACTTGACCATTTGAGCCACCCAGGCACCCCTGAAAGTTACATTCTAAGACCAAGATTGAAAATAGTCAAAATAAATTAGGATATATAATATCCTAATAAATAGTAGATTAGGATTAGATGAAATAGATGCTATGGAGAAAAATAAGACAGTGAGTGGGGGATGGGAGCACCAAGGACGAGGTGAAGGTTACAGTTTATGGAGGTCACTTCAGATGTCTTTGCTCAAATGTCACTGATAAGGTGATATTTGAGATTGACCTGAAAGGGATGAGGGAATGGTTATTGGGTCTATTTGAGGGAAGCATGTCAGATGGAGTAAATAGCAAGAGCAAAGGCTTTGATATATCATCGCAACAAGGGAGGCCATGTAGTTAGAGCTAAGTGAACACGGATTAAGATGAGGCTGGAGAGATAATGGTGGCGGTAGAGTGTGTAGTCTTGTAAATCATTGTCAGCACTATGGCATCTAATTTGAGAGGGACATTGTTGGATGATTTTAGGCAAAAGACTGACTGACATGGTGTTTTTATAATATCACTCTGGCTACTCTATTGAGGTGGGGGAGCAAGATGGAGGTAAGGAGTTCCAACGATTGTGGCATGAAGTTAAAATTTTCTGGCTGTATTTTGAAGATGTAGTTCAGTAGTCCCTCATTTGTGTGATTCCCTCCCCACTTCATATATCCACTTGCTACATGGTTGTCAGATATTTAATACTTGGTTCTTTTTCTAGCTCACTAGATGGCCTACCTGAATTTTTTCTAACTGAGGCTATACAAAGTTTTACTTCTCGTCTTCAGGAAGAATTGAATACTACTCATCTATATTCTTATAGGAAAGTAACTGACAATATATCTTCTTGTATGGAAAACTTTGACTTGGGTAAGCCAGCTCTTGTGTAGTACTTTTTCTATCATTACATCATTGTTTTTAAATGATGTTAATTTTGGTCCTGGGGCTCCTTACCAGTGTTAATTTTTGTATCCCCATAGGTAGAGCAGGAGTTAATAATCTTCTTAAAAATGGTAAGTCCTGTTATTTTATTTTATTCTGAGGGGGTAACTGTTTGTGTGAGTCATTTTAGAACTGGTTCTTTTTCACTTTCTTGGCAATGGGTAGAGTCTTGCAGATTACTAAGGTACATCATGCCCCTTCCTTTTAAATTTCTACTTCTATACCATGATATCATTATAGGTAACGCTAACTTAAAATATTTTCTTATACTGACATTAAAGTTTACAGTTTTAGGTTCTGCTTTGTCATTATGTGTTCTTTTTGTTTCAGTGCTTCATTTTCTGCAGAAGAGTTTAATTGAAATCTCAGAAGAAAATAGGCAAGTATTATGTGTTTGCATGCTTGTGGGTATGTGCCTGTACACTTGAGGTTGTGTGTTGTCTTTGTACAAAGGAAATTAAAAAAAAAGGTTCCATAATGTGCTTCATTCCATCCCTCTCTGTTAATATTAGACCTGATTATTGAAATTTATTCTTTAGAGGTTTGATATTTAATTTAAAAAATCAAATAAATTCTTAGGAGAATGTGGGAATGAGCTCCTTTCTCCCTGAGTGTTCCTTACTTATAGCATCCTGTTCTTATTTTATGAATGAAATATGAAATATCTTATCTTTCTGAGGATATTAGTGTAGTATTTTTTTTTATAGTTTCTTATCTTTACATAGTCCTATTTCTTTTAAGTTGTTTTTTTTCTGTTTGATGCTTTCAGTCACTATATTCGTTGCTAGAAGCTTTTGTCAGAAGTCTGGTGATTTTTGGCCAAGCGCTCATATTTAAGGATGGGGCACTGAGAGTTGATTTGAATCTGTGCATATGGGTGGGGTTGATTGCAGGTTTTATTATAGGCTAGTTTAGCTAGGCTATTTCTTTGGAAAACCTCTGATATCAATATCATCAGGTCTTTTTGCATGGGTAACAGATTCACCATGGAATCAAACCATTGGCTTAATATTCTGGTTGCTGAGGGAGTGAAGAAAGCTGAGGTTATGGCATTTGGCATTCATTGTTCGTATATTTACCTACTTCTCTTGTTTGCAATATGGTGTTCCTGCCTTACCTGTGCATGTTGTTTTACCTTCTCTAGAGGTAAGCCAGCTATTTGCTGGTTCTTACTCTGCAACAGACTTGTAGCCAGCCTTCCTATTTTCTGCTGTGTTGAGAATAGACTGAGGGGGGCGGGGCAAGGATAGAATCTGGGAGACCAGTTAGGAGGCCATTGCAGTAATCCAAGGGAGAGATGAGAGTGACTTAAGCCAGGAGTAGCAGTGGAGTTGGTCTGATTCTGGATATATTTTGAAAGTAGAGCCAACAGGATTTTCTTACAGATAGAGTAGGGAAGAGGGAAGTCAAGGGTGATGACAATTTTTGTAGAGTAGAGATCCCAACAGGTGGAGCAGGTTTGGAGTTGAAGATGAGTTCATGTAGTTTGAGATGTCTGTTAGACATCCAAGTGAAGATATTGAGTAGGAAGTTGCATATACAAGTCTGGGATTAGCAAGAGATGTTCAGGCTGGAGATACAAATTTGGGAATTATCAGCATATATAGATTATAATTTAAAGTTTATGAGCTAGATGAGATCAGCATCAAGGGAACAAAGTAGCTGGACCAAAGAGGGAGAGTAAAGACTGAGCTGTGGAGAGCTGTAACATAAAGAGGTTGGGGAGAAGAGGATGAATTAGCCAAGGTGTCCAGGAAGGAGTGATGGTGAAGTAGGAGAAAATGGAGGAGAGCCTGGTGTCTTGGAAGCCAAGTGAAGAAAGCGTATCAAGGTTGAGAGAGTGTTCAAGTTTAGAAATTGTGGCATTCTTGGGACACCTGGGTGGCTCAGTCGGTTAAGTGTCTGCCTTTGGCTCAGGTCATGATCCCAGGGTCCTGGGATCGAGTCCTGCATCAGGCTCCCTGCTCAGCGGGAGCCTGCTTCTCCCTCTCTCGCTCCCCTTGCTTGTGTGCTCTCTCTCTCTGTGATAAATAGATAAAGTCTTAAAGAAAGAAAGAAAGAAAGAAATTGTGGCATTCTTTCTTGATCTTTTAATTTTACTCTAAAAAAAGTGAAGTAAGGTTAGTCATTAGCTGAGAAGGAGGAAAATGTTGAGATCAGAGGGTTGAAAGTTTGCAGTAAATGTCCCCATAATTGGAATGTTTATGGGAATGGAAGAGAGAGGCATAAATGTCTAGTATAATCTAAAATGAATTTTGGCCCTTTGAGGAATGTTTCTTTTGCAGAGAGATAGAAATGGGGACAATTTTATGTGACTTTTCTTTTGTAATAACATCTTTTCTTCATTATAGAAAATTTGCTGGAAATCATATAGTTCAAACGCAGTTGATGAATGACTTGTTGGTAGGCACTAGAGTTTCAGTGATGTTAGTGCAGAAAATACAAGACTTTCAGAGAATTCATTTGAAGACTTCTGGTTCTCCCACATGGCAAAGTATGTGTGGATTGCTGAGTATTTTCACCAAGTTTTTAAGCGATGGTAAGTGTAAAACCATAAAAATGATGATTATAATTGAGTGTCATTCAGCTTTTGCTAATAATGGTATGAAATGTTTGATACGTAGCTGAGATGTAGAACTTCTTCTCCCCCAGCCCCTTAAAATGGGGAAAGGCCCTAGATTATGAGGTTTTAATGCTTTTTCTTTCAAATGTGCCAATTCTGCAAGGGCTAATGTTGAAGAACTTTTCTAAATGTGGATGTGTGTATTGTAAAGAAGAAAACCTAACAGTCTTAGTGTTGAAAAGCTACAGACTTTTAAGTGGCAAAAGAAAATTCTTGATAAGAGATTTCCAAATTTGAATGGAAGATCTGGAAAGGTGAATGTAACCCATACATTTCTCCTTAGCAGCAGGCATTATCTTCAAGTAACGACAGTGGTCCTTGTGGGGTGGTCATTGTCCCCCCTGTATCTCTCATATGTTGCTTCTATCCAGATGAACTATGTTACTGGGATGCCAAATAGTTAATAAGAGGAAGTCTCTCTTCATAAAAGCCTTCTGGGCTGGGTGCCTGAGTTCGATTTCTCACCCTGGATACTGGGTACAAGGGTGTTCACCTTCAAATAATTCATTAAGCTGTACACTTGTTTTGGGTGTTTTTTATATCAGTCAATATTATATTACAGTAAGGTTAACAAAAAAATGACACTGAACACATAAGTATTTATAAAAAGTTAATTACCTTTTTACCCTTTACTTCATGTTTTGTATGGTCATGCATGCATGAGTATTATTAACTTACTAAAAGGTTATTGGGATTGGTTTAGAGTTTTTGTTTGTAAAGAGCAGTAACTGACTCTGGTTTTGCTAGGCTAATGGGGAAAAAATAATACCTCATTGTTTATTTGTTTTGAATCCTGGTAACTAGTGAAAGTGCTAGCTATTTTGTCCAGATAGTTTATTTATTTATTTATTTATTTAGGCTAGGATCTCAGGTAGTTATTAAAAGGAAAGGAAATTTAGTTTGAGACACAATTTACAGACATCTTTTCAGAGAATATTTGCTTTTTAAAAGAGACTTTGTTATTTAAAAAAAAAAAAAGACTGGTGAAATGTAGGGAAGACCTGATTTTAATACAAGGCAGCCTCTTTTTTGAGCGGTTGATGGGGCCATCCAGTGCCATTCTGCCCCAGGGTTTTAAAGCTTCATGTATCAGTCAAGTGTTTGGCTACAGGTAACAGAAAACTAAATTTCAGGGCGCCTGGGTGGCTCAGTTGGTTAAGCAACTGCCTTCGGCTCAGGTCATGATCCTGGAGTCCCGGGATCGAGTCCCACATTGGGCTCCCTGCTCGGCAGGGAGTCTGCTTCTCCTTCTGACCCTCTTCCCTCTTGTGCTCTCTATCTCTCATTCTCTCTCTCTCAAATAAATAAATAAAATCTTAAAAAAAAAAAAAGATTAAAAAAAAAAAAAGAAAACTAAATTTCAGGGACTTCAGCAAATGTGCCTCCCTATGTTCCCACAGAACGTGAAGTTCAGAGGCAGGTGATCCCGAATGGCTGTTTGCGGGCCAGGACCCAGACATTTCTGCCTTTCTGCTCTGCTGTCTTCAGCATGTTGAATCTCACGCCCACATTTGTTGCCTCATGGTTGCCATTTGACTGCTGTAGCTCCAGACATTATGTCTGTGTGTAAGGCAGGAAGGAAGGCCAGTTGCATCCTTACCTTTAATCAGGAAAAACAAAAGTACCCAAGTACCTGCTTACATCCCATTGGCCTGAATGCTCATGGCTACCTTTAGTTGCAAGGAAGATAGAGGAAGCAAGTATCCTGCCTTTGGCTGAGTACATGGATGTGCCAGTCAAAGCCACAGTTCTGTTAGCAGGGATAAAGGACAGAATGGATGTTTATTAGATAGTTTATGGTAGGTATTTATGATTCTTAGCCCAGGTTGAATAATTCACCATATTTAGGAAACTTTCTCACAAAACAGAGGCTGATAGAAAACAAGGAGGAAATAGCAAGCCAAGATTGGTTACATTGGGTACAGTGCCAGTAATAGCAAAGTTTGCAGTTAGCACTGATGCAGGCTTTTTATACAAGCCCTGAAATCACGTGAAGAAGAAGTAATATAGAGCCCAAGGAAGAAGGTGGCGGCGGTGGTGGTGACTGAGCAGAGCCCAGTGGCAGAATGTTGATGTTGGTATTAGGAGACCTGCACATCCCACACTGGTGCAACAGTTTGCCAGCTAAATTAAAAAAACTGCTGGTGCCAGGAAAGATTCAGCACATTCTCTGTACTGGAAACCTTTGCACCAAAGAGAGTTACGACTATCTCAAGGCTCTGGCCGGTGATGTTCATACTGTGAGAGGAGACTTCAATGAGAATCTGAATTATCCAGAACAGAAGGTTGTGACTGTTGGGCAGTTCAAAATTGGTTTGATCCATGAGCATCAAGTTATTCCATGGGGAGATATGGCCAGCTTAGCCCTGTTGCAGAGGCAGTTTGATGTGGACATTCTTATCTCGGGACACACACACAAATTTGAAGCATTTGAGCATGAAAATAAATTCTACATTAACCCAGGTTCTGCCACTGGAGCATATAATGCCTTGGAAACAAATATTATTCCTTCATTTGTGTTAATGGACATCCAGGCTTCTACAGTTGTCACTTACGTGTATCAGCTAATTGGAGATTATGTGAACGTAGAACGAATTGAATATAAAAAGTCTTAAAAGCCAGGCCTGTCTTGCTGGTTTTTTTTTTCATTCCCGTTCAAATCAAGTAATTAAACATTTATGGGCTACAAAATTGTATCACTTTTATAATATTTTGCAGTAAAATATATCATCTTCTGTTAACACAATGTTCTAAGCTTCTTGTAAACTATAAGAATATGTTCCGTTTCCATATATGATTTCTCTGAAGAAATGTCCATCATACAGTAAATGGTCCCATGCTAAGAAAAATGTACCCTTGTAAATATCTTCAAAGTTGATATCTGGAACTTTATTACAAAAGTAGTGCATGAGGAAAAAGAATCTAGACTTTTTTGTATACACTTTTCTCTCCAATAATAAACAGTTACTTTTCATTTATAAAAAAAAAAAAAGTAATATATGTGGGGGTTGGGATGGCGCGGCATCAGTGCAGGAGAGACAAGTGGTATTGCTGCTACATGTGCTGGGGGGAGAGGAAGAGAGAGTGGGGGTTAGAGGAGAGAGGAAGGAATCACATCTATGAAGCATTTATGTGCTGGGCATAAAAACTTTGTGTTAATTATGCATTTAAACCTTATAATAACTGTCAAATAGGAGTTACATTTTCTCATTTTACAGAAGAGAATGCTGGGTGCCTGAGAGGTTAAATAACTTGCCCAGGGTCTGTTCAACCTAGGAAGCAGTCGTGCTAGAAATTGCACCCAGGACTGTCTGACCCTGCACCATGTACTTTTTCCCCTGGACCAAAGTATCTGTTGTCATTTAATACATGCTCTCTACTTTTTTGTCAAATAGATGACCTCTTACAGACAATTCAGAGTACGTCTGGATTAGCTGTTATTCTTTTTATTAAGGCTATGTTTCATCCCCCTGAAAAGATTCCTGATTTGGTGAGTGCATCTCCTTTGTAGAATTGTACTTTATTGATAATTAGACACGTGTTTGGTTTTGTTGGTTTTTTTTAAGATTTTACTTATTTATTTGACAGAGACACAGCAAGAGAGGGAACACAAGCAGGGGGAGTGGGAGAGGGAGAAGCAGGCTCCCTGCTGAGCAGAGAGCCTGAGGTGGGGCTCCATCCCAGGACCCTGGGATCATGACCTGAGCTGAAGGCAGATGCTTAACAACTGAGCCACACAGGCGCCCCCTAGACACGTTTTATAGAAATATTTTTAAAGAAGTTAATTAAAAATTTCTTTCTGCATAGTCAGAATCTTTCTGGTGATCTTTTTCTCTTACAATAAGAAACAGCCCAAAAATGCAGAAAAAGCAGAAAGAAGACAATAGCAGTCACCTATAAATCCATCTTGCAAAGATAATCACTATCAACATTTTTTTGGGTATATCCTTCTAGTTTGTTTCTAGTACTGTTTGTTCTGTTCCATCTCTCAGTATTATAAGAGATACAATATTAAAAGTATGCAGAGGTTAATGTATAGATACATGAAGTCATTACTTTTTGATAAATATGTCCTTTTTATTAAGAATAACCCAGGGGAGCCTGGGTGGCTCAGTTGCTTAAGCGTCCAACTCTTAATTTCAGCTCAGGCCTTGATCTCAGGGTTGTGAATTTGGCGTGGAGCCTACTTAAAAAAAAAAAGAATAACCCAAATGTTGTACTTTTATTTATTTATTCATTTATAAAAGATTTATTTATTTGAGAGAGAGCAAGAGAGCGAGCATGAGCAGGAGGAGCAGAGGGAGAAGGAGAGAGAATCCCAAGTGGACTCAGCACTGAGTGCAGAGCCCAATGCAGGGCTGGATCCCACGACCCTGAGATTATAACCTGAGCTGAAACAAGGAGTCGGATGCTCAACCGACCATGCCACCCAGGCGCTGCCCAAATGTTTTACTTTAGATGGGAAGCATGTTAAAATCAATTTTTCAGTGTATTTGGTCAGATGGAAAGTATAATTGATAATTTGGACATAATTCTTATATTCAGTACTAGCAGGTTTTTTCTTCCTTAGTATATTATCTAGAAACTTATTTTAGCTATTTACCTGACTTTTTGCCAAATAGATGTGTACTCTTCTGTGAGATCACACAAAGTATCACTGGATAAAATTTAGCGATTTGATTCCTAAAATCACCTCTGAAAAGCATTAGTTAAGCTCATCCACCTGCAGGTGGCGATATGTTTTGCTCTACTAGTACCTTCAAACCAGCAAAAATGGTTCATGTATTTAGATTTAATTTTTTTCCCTTTTGATATAATAATTTCAACATTTGTGGCTTCTCATCTTTAGTTTGCTAGGATGTTTCAGGGGAAAGGGAATTTTGGATTTACATTTTGAAATATCTGAAAAGTTTTCGAGGCTTTATAACATGTTGGCTCTGTTATGTTCTTCCAGATTAGTAGTTTGCTTCTCCGTTCAGTGGACTGCACCAGCATCCCCGACTGGTTTTTGAACTGCTGCAGGAGCCTCTGTTGTACTGATGTCTCGCAGTCAACTCTCTTATTCCTGTGTCAGGGGACACTCACCATGTTGGACTGGCAGAATGGGAATATGGGCCTGAGTGGGGAGGCCCTGCTCTTGAATATTGTGCATGTCTTGTTCACCTTGAGTTCACAGTGAGTTTTCATGCTACTGTCTCCTATTCTGTTTTGCTTGTCAGACATTTCAAAAATGGCAACTGAACTAGTATACTTAGTAATTCCGTGAAAAGTGCTCAGGATAATCCTGAATTAAAAGGAAGATAACAGGGACGCCTGGGTGGCTCAGTCAGTTAAGTGTCTTCCATTGGCACAGGTCAGGATCTCAGGGTACTGGGATTGAGTCCCACATTGGGCTCCTTGGTCAGCGGGGAGCCTGCTTCTCCCTCGGCCTGCTACTCCCCTGCTTGTGCACGCCCTCTCTCCCTCTGTCAAATAAATAAATAAAATCTTAAAAAAAAAAAAAGGAAGATAACATATAGGCAGTGAAATGGGTGTGAAAGTAGAACAAGAGAAGATGAAATGATGAGGGGAGGGAGAGAGTTACAGATATTATTGGTGCAGGTTAACCTGCACTGAACATTTTTAATGTTAATGTTAACATTTAGTCTCTAATGCTGCATTTTAGTTTATAAACAATGTCAACATAGGTAATTCAGTATGAGCCTCACATGTCTGATAGATAGGATAGGAAATCTAATGTGTTGAGTAGGTAAAGTGAAGTTAGAAAAGTAAATGCTAAAACTTAAGAGTATATTGCTAATAAGCACCTGAGCCAGAACTGTAACCAGCTCTTTTGACTTCATTGGATTGTGTTTTATGGTTTATTTTGGTGTTTTTTTCATAATGCCTGAAAGTGATTGTGTGCTTAAAATGTCAAACCATAGATACAACTTAATAGTAATGAACATGTAGGTAAAGGAAGAAAAGTACTGTCTTCTAAAATAATTTTTACATGTTTTTCAGCTTATATATATGTGAAAATTGTACATATTTTAAAGGAATGTAAAAATTATTATTTCTTTAGAGAAGGATTGGTGGGGAGGGGCAAAGGGACAGGGAGAGAGAGAGTCTTAAGCAGGCTTCACGCCCAGTGCAGAGTCTGATGCGGAACTTGATCTCATGATCCTGAGATATGACCTGAGCCAAAATCAAGTGTCAGTCACTTAATCAACTGAGCCACCCAGGCACCCCTCTCAGTATGTTTTAAAACACCTGTGAAACCATTATCAAAATCAAAATAATAAACATTTCCATCACTCCCAAAAGTTTTCTTGTGTCCCTTTTTGGATTATTTCTATAAGATGAAAAGATTCATTTATAAATTTGAGATCTGTTTTGGCCTGTTTGTAATTTTTTGTCATTGTAAATTTAATAATTATTGAATTTTCTGATCATTCTTTTTTATATTTTTAAAATCTAGATGATTATAAAATGAAATTTCTGTTACTAGTCAGTTGATAATAACATGGTTCATTTCTCTTCAGGATCAAGGAATCAACTCTGGAATTGTTTCTGTCTAGAATTTTGGCATCCTGGACTAATTCAGCCATACATGTCCTTGAATCAAGTTCCCCAAGCCTAAAGGACAGTCTGAATGGAAATTCAAGTGTAGTTGGGAGACTTTTAGAATACGTCTATACCCACTGGGAACATCCACTGGATGCTTTGAGACACCAAACCAAAATTATATTCAGAAATATTCTCCAAATGCACCAGCTCACTAAAGAAAAGTCAGACTCTGAAGCATCAGGTTTGGCTGCGGATCGTTTCATCTGTGATCTGACTGAAAGTCTTCTGCGATTGGAATGGCATGTGAAAGGGAAATATGCATGCCTTGGTTGTTTAGTAGATTACATAGGAATTGGACATATTTTGGCACTAGCTAAAACTATTCCATCACAAATCTTAGAGGTGATGGGAGACCAGTCCTTGGTACCTTATGCAAGTGACCTCTTGGAAACCATGTTCAGAAATCATAAGAGTCATTTGAAGTCCCAGGCTGTCGACAGTACTTGGATTGATGAGTGGCATGAGACTTGGGTTTCTCCTCTCCTTTTTATACTGTGTGAAGGAAATCTGGATCAGAAATCTTATGTGATTGATTATTACTTGCCAAAATTATTGAACTGTAGCCCTGAAAGCTTAAGCTACATGGTAAAGATTCTTCAAACTTCTGCTGATGCTAAAACTGGTGAGAAAAGGAATCGTTCTTTCAGTAATTTCTGGTTAAGATGTTTAAGCGTAGGTAGCTTGGCAGCTGTGGACCATATTCAGATTTAAATATTACAGCTTCTGTAAATAGTAAAAGAGGGTATTGACGATAGAAATTTCAGATTGAGACTAATGTTCCTCTCCAGAGTAGAGTGGAGTTTTTTTTGGCTTAAGTCATTTCTACAGGCTAAGGATTGATTCCAGTTATTATAAGGTTCCCTTTCTTACTAGTTTTAATTCATTTTACCAAGTTCTTATTTGTTAGGTTGTTAGACTGGAATGAAAGTTTGAGTGTTTTATATAAGTTGCTTATTCTAGTGATTGAAACAGTAATTAAACATTGTTTTCGGCAAGGATCAAGACAGGTAAACTGGCAGCAGCAAGTTTTTGTCTCTAGGGAAGAGACAAAAAAATGTAGATGTGTGACCTCACGAAACAACTCTCTGTAGTCATTTAGAATAGGGGGTAAACATTCCACTGAAACTCAGTAACCCTGAACGAATCTCTGCATTAAAGCATAGTTCAGTAATTAATATATAAATGATGACCATGACTTATCATGTGAATCTTAAAATTACTGTATTCTGCTTAACAAAGCAGAAATATGGCACTCTACATCGTAGTTTAAGAATATTTATAACAAGGGATGCCTGGGTGGGTCATTTGGCTAAGCATTCAAGTCTTTTTTTTTTTTTAATTTTATGTATTTATTTGAGAGTGCTAGAGAGAGAGAGAGAGAGAGAACAAGTAGGGGGAGGGGTAGAGGGAGAGGGAGAAGCAGACTCCCAGCTGACCTGAGCTGAAGGCAGATGCTTAACCGACTGAGCCACCCAGGTACCCCAGCATCCAACTCTTGATTTCAGCTCAGGTCATGATCTCAGGGTCGTGAGATCAAGCCCTGCATTGGGTACTGTGCTGAGCATGGAGACTGCTTAAGATTCTATTTGTCTCCCTCTGCCCCTCCCCCCCTCCGCCCCCGCGGTGCACAGGCACTCTCTCTAAAAAAAAAAAAAAGTATTTACAACGAAAAATAATTGAAAGCTTTCAAAGAGTAACCATGAGATAGCTGGAAAAATCTGATTCCTATACACAAAAATAAGCCATTATTTGTAGTTGGGTTTTTTTCCATTATTTGCAGTTTTTAACAACAATTGTTCTTACCTTTCTGAGAAGCCATCTAAAGTTCAAGATTCATGAATCTGCTCTGAAGTAAGGCCATCTCTTTTTTTTTTTTTATCAGTGTTCCCATTGAGCCAGGGTTCCCTGTCCTATTAGTAATGACTGATGTCCCAGCCTCCAAAAGCGTCAGGCTCCTTGTAATCCTCCTTTTATCTTTTTTACTAGGGAGAAATAGTAACTCCAAAATATGTAGAGAGGTTTAGTGTTTGTTTTTAGAGAAATAATGATATTTAGCCATTAAAGTGTTTTCCCTAATTTTGGCTGAAAGTCATTTTAGTTATTGTTTTAAATATATCTCCATCTGATTTTTTTCCCCTGAATCACTTCCTGGTTCATTTCTAAGTGTCAAGGAAAAGGTAAAAACAGCAAAAAATAATGATTTCTTTAAGTTAACATAAGGGGATTATGCTTACTTGAAATAATTGACATAAGAACTGTCAAATCCCTTTCAATAATGATTATTTTATCCTAGGGATTTTAATTCATGTTAGAATTTAAACTGTGATTTTTATTTCTTGAAATACAATGTTAATTGCAAAATGAAAATTGTGACAGTTGTTGCGTACCACAGTAGTTATCTTTGTTATTTTGTGCTTTTGAGACAACAATCTTTTCCATCCTTAGGGTCTTACAATAGTAGAGGGGCTCTGGGAGCTTTGATGGCATGTCTGCGAACAGCTAGAGCTCATGGACATCTTCAGTCTGCAACTGATGCTTGGAGGAACCTTGTGTCCAGTGCAAGAATAAAACAAGGCTTAATTCATCAGCACTGCCAAGTAAGTAAACAGAATATCTGGGAATTTCATACGTACAATAGATCCCTGATTTATTCAGTTAGCAGTCCAATATAGAGGCCTCTGTGTTGAGCCCAGCACTGTTTTAAGGGATCTGCAAGGAGGATGAATTGAAAGTGAAAAGTGTAGGAGCGCCTGCAGGGTCCTGGGATTGAGCCCTGCGTTGGGGGGCGGGGGGGGGCGGGTCCTGTTCAGTGGGGAGCCTGCTTCTCTCTCTGTCTGCCACTCCCCCTGCTTGTGCTTTCTCTCTTACTCTCTCTCCCTCTCAAATAAATCAATAAAATCTTAAAAAAAAAAGAAGTGAAAAGTGTAGACTTTTCGGGCTATTTAAATTTTAGTTGAAGGAAGAAGAAAACCTGTGTAAAACAACTGGAAACTCTCAGAAGACAATACAGATATAAGTATGGGGCGACTGGGTGGCTTGGTCATTAAGTGTCTGCCTTTGGCTCAGGTCATGATCCCAGAGTCCTGGGATCAAGCCCCACATCAGGCTCCCTGCTCCGCGGGAAGCCTGCTTCTCCCTCTCCCACTCTGCCCTGCTTGTGTTCCCTCTCTCACTGTGCCTCTCTCTGTCAAATAAATAAATAAAATTGTAAAAAAAAAAAATACAGATATAAGTGCTCCTTTATGCATAAGGACTTGGGGGGCTTAGAACAGAATAGGTAGTGTTGATTAGGAACACGTTAAATGTGATTAAAGGAGAGGAAGCATTGGAGCAACACACAAAATGGGAGAACACTAGAATGATAAATGAGTTCAGTAAAGTCACAGGGTAGAAAATCAATGTACAGAAGTCTGTTGCATTCCTATACACTAATAATGAAGCAGCAGAAAGTGAAATTAAGAAAGCAATCCTATTTATAGTTGCATCAAAACCAATAAAATAGGAATTAATTTAACCAAAGAGGTGAAAGACCTGTACTCTGAAAGCTATAAAACATTGATGAAAGGAATTCAAGACAAATGCAAAGAAACAGAAAGACATTTCATGCTCATGGATTGGAAGAACAAATATTGTTAAAATGTCTATACTACCCAAAGCCATCTACGCGTTTAATGCAGTCCCTATCAAAATACCAATGGCTTTTCTCATAGAACTAGAACAAACAATCCTAAAATTTGTATGGGGCCCACAAAAGACCTCAAATAGCCAAAGCAATCTTTTTTTTAAGATTTTATTTATTTTAGAGAGAGGGAGAACAAGAGACAGAACACACAAGCATGAGTGGGAGGTGAGGGGGCGGTGCAGAGGAAGAAGCAGACTTGAGCTCGATGTGGGGCTTGATCCCAGGACTCTGGGATCATGACCTGAGCCAAAGGCAGATCCTTAACCAAATGAGCAGCCAGGTGCCCCTAGCCAAAGCAATCTTGAAAAAGAAAAATAAAACTGGAGGTATCACAATTCTGTGTTTCAAGTTATATTACAGAGTGGTAGTAATTAAATAGTATGGTGCTGGCATGAAAATAGACACAGAGATCAGTGGAATAGAACAGAAAACCCAGAAATAAACCCACAGTTATATGGTCAATTAATTTTTGACAAAGGAGGGATGAATATACAATAGGAAAAAGACAGTGTCTTCAACAATGGTGCTGGGAAAACTGGACAGCCACATGTAAAGGAATGAAACTGGACCACTTTCTTTCACCATACACAAAAATAAACTGAAAATGGATTAAAGACCTAAATGTGAGACCTAAAACCATAAAAATCCTTGAAGCGAGCACAGGCAGTAATCTCTCTGACATTGGCCATAGCAACATTTTTCTAGATATGTCTCTTGAGGCAAGAGAAGCAAAAGCAAAAATAAACTATTGGGACTTCATCAAAATAAAAAGCTTTTGCACAGCAAAGGAAACAGTCAAGAAAACTAAAAGGCAACCTACTAAATGATAGAAGATATTTGCAAATGACATAATCCAATAAAGGGTTAGTATCCAAAATAAATAAATAACTGATACAATTTAATACCCAAAGAACAAATCCAATTAAATGAGTGGAAGATATGAAAAGACATTTCTCTAAGGAACACATCTAGATGGCCAATGGACATATGAAAAGATGCTCAACATCACTCATCATCAGGGAAATGTAAATCAAAACTACAATGAGATAACACCTCATGCCTGTCAGAATGGCTAAAATCAAAACCATAAGAAACAACAAGTGTTGGCAAGGATGTGGAGAAAAAGGAGCCCTTGTGAGCTATTAGTGGGAATGCAAACTACTGTAGCCACTGTGGAAAACAGTATGGAGGTTCCTCAAAAAATTAAAAATAGAACTACCCTATGATCCAGTAATCACACTACTGGGTTTTTACCCCAAAAATCTAAAAACACTAATTCGAAGGGATACATACAACATTATTTACAATAGCTAAACTATGGAAGCAGCTGTAGGGTCTACAGATAGATGAATGGATAAAGAGGAGGTCACACACACACACACACACACACACACACACACACACACACACACACAATGGAATTACTCAGCCATAAAAAAGAATGAAATCTTGCCATTTGCAACAACATGGATAGAGCTAGAGAGTATAATGCTAAGCAAAATAAGTCAGTCAGAGAAAGACAAATACAATGTGATCTCACTCATATGTGGAATTTAAGAAACAAACACGCAAAGGAAAGAAAAAAAAAGACTATATAGAGAACAAAAAGATGGTTACCAGAGGGGAGTTGGTTGGGGGGATGGAGTAAATAGGGGGTAGGAATTAAAGAGTACACTTATTATGATGAAGAAAAAAAATGATTAAAAAAACCCCCACAAAACAAATACCAAAATGGGAGAATACAAAACAAGGCCTGGAGGATGATTTAGGATGTTGTTTGGCAGGAGTAGAGTGTTTGGTCCATTTTATTGAGGCCTCCAATGCTAGGCTGAAGACTTCAGATTTCATTCAGTTGGTAAGCAGGAACCAGAGCCATTCTGCCTCTAGCAAGGAAGTAGAATTAATGGCAACAGAGATGAGTTTCCAGTGTGAGAGCAAAAAGAATCCAGGAGCCTGGTTAGATGTGCATGACAGTAATCTAAGAGTGACTGATGAGGGGGGCGCCTGGGCGGCGCAGTTGTTAAGCATCTGCCTTTGGCTCAGGTCATGATCCCAGCGTCCTGGGATCGAGCCCCACATCGGGCTCCCTGCTCTGCGGGAAGCCTGCTTCTCCCTCTCCCACTCCCCTGCTTGTGTTTCCTCTCTTGCTGTCTCTCTCTGTCAAATAAATAAAATAAAATCTTAAAAAAAAAAAAAAAGGAGTGATGAGGTCCTGGGGTAAAGTAGAGAAAAAAGAATGAAGTTGAGCATTACCATGGAATAAGAATCTTTAAGACTGTTGGCTTACAAATACCCAATTTACGCATTTAATAAAGTAATTTTATATGAGTTATACCTTAGGATCTTTGGGATGAGGGAACCTTATTGAAGTATACATGGGTAAACTGGGGTTTACTGTTTTTTTTTCCCTTTGGTAGCTTATATAAATAAACATGTCAAGTAGTTTACTATTTGCTTATTTCATTGAAAAATTAACATTTTATTGCTTGATGTGTTTTAGGTACGGATAGATACATTAGGCTTGCTTTGTGAAAGTAATCGAAGCACAGAAATCGTTTCCATGGAAGAAATGCAGTGGATTCAATTCTTTATCACATACAATCTAAACAGTCAGTCCCCAGGAGTGCGACAGCAGATTTGTTCTCTTCTTAAAAAGGTAGAATTTTTCATCAGAAAGTACAGGAAAGTTGTGAATTCTGCTCTGCAAATCATTTTTGTAAAGAGCTCTGATTTTGGGAGTATGTGGGAATAATGGTCATGGGTTCGGACTGCCACATCCCTTCATGGCCCATCTGTGAACCATTCTGTGATTCCATAGAGTTTACATTTGAGATTCAAGTCCAGGGTGTAAAAGCCCTTTCATTTTGGTGTAAAATAAATCAAACTTGAGTTCTTTTTTTTTTTTGGAAAGAAAAAAAATGTAGTGATGGATCTTTCAGGGTGAAAGGTATTTTAAGAAAACTTTGGTGAGAGGAAGAAAGATGCCCTTGTAGTTCTACCATTTAAGGGCCTCATGAAATGGTCATTGTTGACTGATTCAACTTGACTTAATCACATGCCTCATTTATGGGATGAAGAATTGGTAGAGTATAGAAGTGAGTATATCTTTAGTTTCATGCCAACCTAAAGGAAATAGAACTACCATTTAATGACTGTATTCTGGTTTGCAGTAGTAGTTTGTTTTTGGTTTTAAAAAATATGTGTTAATTTTCTGTCAGAAACACTAAATATTAAGAGTTTAGAGATCAGTACTCTCTTTGCTTGAAGTTTTAGTCTAAAGAATTTAGAAAATTTGTCCTTTTCCTTTTTTTAGACTGACATTTAAGATTAAAAATGGCTTACATATGCTCCATTTTTCTTTTTCTCAAAAGTTGTTTTGTAGGATACAGGAAAGTTCTCAGGTGCTTTATAAACTGGAGCAAAGTAGATCCAAACATGAATCAGATAATGAGTTACCCAAACAGCACCCTTCTATTTCTTTACAGCAATATAAGGTAGGTGATCTTTTTCTAGACATATGGGTATTTAAGAAACATAGAACAATTATGAATAAACATTAAAGGGAAATAAATGGAAGTCTCATGGTGAATGGTGTTGTTTCTGTGTTTCTTTCCTTCAAGCTAGTTTTACATACTCCTTCTGGTGCTTTGATACTTCTCTTAAGGTACCCTGAGTCTTGGAACCAGTGCTGGACTTGAGGCCTCTTACAGAATAACAGTAATGGGTTAACCTCAATCCTTTACAGCTTAATGTGGGCTACATGAATTTGGTACTTTAAGAAAAAGGTAATTGCTGGCCCAGAAGTCCTCCATCTCTCTCCAGAGTAGAAGATTGCTGTATCTGGTCCTGTAAGTCCTATTTAGACTAATAGGACTTACAGTGGCTTGATATTGGTGCCTCCTGGTCTGTGGTCCAGCTGTGGAGGTTCCTGTCCGTCCCATTTTGGAGGGAGCGTGAAGAGTAGGGCTAGGTTTCAGGTCACTGTGTTAATGGGATGGATGATGGAACCCCAGATATAGCAGCTCCGGTCTGGGCCAGAGCTTAGCTTAACAACCTTACATGTCTGTCCATCAGAACAGAATGAGTTTTTCACTGGTTTCTCACTCCAAATATAGCCTCTCAGAAGCAGAAATCTTACTGTCTTCTAAGACCCAGATAGAGAACAGAGCTCATCTGTTGTATTTCATGTAGGGAAACAATTGTAATAAATTAATGATACATTGGAGCCATGATACACTTGCTACCTACTCTAAGCATTAGTATGGATGGCCCTTAGTTTTCAGTTTTAAACTTGAAAGGTAAAAAATCATCTAAAGAAGAATATTCCTATACCAAGGATGAAGTCAGCTTCATCCTTGTAAAAATTCCAACAGTGAAGATTGGAAAGTGACAACCTAAACTTGAAGGACATGTGTTTAGTCCCATTTCTGCCACTGATTAGTTGGCTTACTTGATGAGTCTGTTTGACTGTAAGTGGGATGAGTAACCTCTCTGAAAAGGCTGGTTTTGAGGATTAAATGAGAAAGCTGTTTGTAAATTCTAAATCACCCTAAAAAGCCTCGCTGGTAGTCATTAAAAGTGACTAGAGTGTATTCTGAGCACTTGCTTTGTGTGTGGACAAATTATTTTTTAGCCTTTCTTAGATCATTGCTAGACGTTCTAAGAAAACAGTTCTTTTGCTTCTTTTTTTAAGGGGTAAAATGACATTTGTGAAAACTGAGTTAAGTACTTAAAACACAAAACCTGTGTTGTGGATTGACATTCTGAATTTTCACGTATGCATGGTTTCTTAGTTTGACCTTGTGAATATATGTTTTTGAAAACTAGCCCTTTAGAGTCTTAATCTAAGTCAATCTCATGGTTCTGATATTTCCTCCCAACTATAGTCATCTGTGGCTTTTGGAGATTGTGACTTTGGCACTAAATTACTTATCATCTTTATAATAGTGGGTGTCATGCATGGTGTGTGGTAGGCTTGGTGCCAATCAATAGACTAAGTCCTGGGGGAGAAGAGGAGGCTGTTAGTTGGAAAAGATGTCTTCTAGTTTAGTGAAGGAGATTATTTCATGCCTAAATAACTGATATTATTAGCTTGAGTACTTCTAAATTTACAAAATGCTTTGTACCCTCATTCTCATTTAAATCTTTAATAACAAAGCTGTGAGATAGGCATTATTTTCCTCACTTAACAAATGTGAAAACTAGGGCGCCTGGCTGGCTCAGTCGGTGGAGCGTGCAACTCTTGATCTCAGGGTTGTGAATTTGAGCCCCACATTGGGTATAGAGCTTACTTAAAAAGAAAATGAGAAACTAAAGCTTGGAAAAGTTGAGTAACCTGCCCAAGGTCCCTCAGCTACTAAGTGCTAGTCAGACCCCTGTGTACATCTGCTCTCGCTTCTAAAATCTGAATAGTTTTTTTCCCTAGTCCCTGCTTAATTGAAAGCTTGGAGGTAAGAAAGTACAGGGAGAATTTGGGGAACGGTGAATTCACTGTTGTGAATGAATGACACCTAAGATGCTTGGAGCAACAAAAGAGATGTAACAGGAAATGAGTTTGAAAGTCAAGTTGGGGCTGCATATTGGATGTTTTTTGTTGTTTTCGCTAATAATCAAAACAGAGCTTGACTAACGTGTGTGTATGTACAAATAAATAAAGTTTCTTTGTTTCCCTAGGAATACAAGTAAAGTATTTTTATTTTTATCTATAAGGAAGCTGCTGTGGAGGTTCAGGAATTTCATATTGTAGTTACACAGCTAACAAGTGACAAAGCTGGAAGTACAAATCAATTTCATATCTGTAGTTGAGTTCCCTCAACTAACAAGTGTTGTAGTTTCAAGGAAACTATGAAATTGTTTCATTTCCTGTGCTTGACAATGTAGCAGAATAGAATTAAGTATTGTATGGGTATTTGCAATTTGAAATCTATCACTTTTAATAATTTTAATGTCACATTTCAATAGCTTTAGCTATATAACACAGCAAAAAACCTTAAAGGCAAATAGAGAAGCTGCCTGAGTAATCTAAAGAGATTTTGAGTGCTAGGCTAAAGTATTTGGAAGCCTCACTAGGAGCTGTTAAAAGTGACAAGAGCATATATTGAGCCCGTTCTGTATGTTCAGGACAATATGCTTAGGATGGGGATATAAATGTATAAACTGTGGTCCATGCCTCCACTATGGTTACAGTGTGGCTGAAGGAAAGAACTATTGCTAAAAATATAAATGGTACTACAGTTAGGATAAGATCATTCCCATAGGATGAACTTGTTGCCCTTTAACATGAATACTGTATTACTCATTTATAATTAAAATAAGTTTAGGATATTCTCAATAACTACCCTATTCCCTTGAAACCCAATAGATTTAATAAACTAACAAACTCTTACTTAGGTCTTGTAAGGGCCTATAGGATAAATCCCCAAGACTGTATGTCACTGACCAAAGAAATGAATGCTGAGATCTTTTCTGGAATCAGTTGGGACTAAAACTGCTTATGTGCTGCTCAGTTACAAATACACATTGTTAGGGCATAGCGGTGTATGTGCGCTGCTTGAGAATCACAGCTTTTCCTTATAAGTTTTCTGGTTTTCTGTTCCGTCGTATCCAGAAATAGTAATAATAATTATTAACTAGAGAAAGAAGACTTTATCTTGGATAAACTATTTCCCATTCTTTTTTTAAATTGCGTTTTACTAAAAGTTTGCATTTTTTTATTATTTATATAAACAATGGTAGAGGAGGGGCGCCTGGGTGGCTCAGTTGGTTAAGCGACTGCCTTCGGCTCAGGTCATGATCCCAGGCTCCTGGGATCGAGTCCCGCATCGGGCTCCCTGCTCAGCAGGGAGTCTGCTTCTCCCTCTGACCCTACCCCCTCTTATGCTTTCTCTATCTCATTCTCTCTCTCAAATAAATAAATAAAATATTTTTTAAAAAAGTTTAAACAATGGTAGAGGAGCAAGAGTATCAAAGGGGAATATAGAAGACAATGGAATAGTTGGATCTTTATGAATTGTGTCATTATAGCCACATTTATCAAGTATTGTACTTACTATATTTATCAAGTAGTCTGTATTGGATTTTTTTTGGTTATTTAAAAACTTAAAAAAAATATACATACCTTTGATGCCTGAACATCTCTGGTGAAGAAAACCAATATTCATATACCTTTAGCACAGATCTTGCTTTCACCAAAAATGGGTGCTGAGTATTGGATTTTCTTGTGTGGACGACAATAGGAATTGTACTTCTTGTCAACCCTACAAAGGTAGGGTTCATTGAAGTCATGATATAGCTTATGGTCAGGGGTACCAGTCTGAATTGTCAAGCAAAGTAAATAACTAGTATTGTTTTTAAAAATCTTTTCCCTGTTAGTTAAAAAAGAACCCCACTCTTAAAGATGTTACTTTGAAAATAATCTATGATGAGTTAAAGATTATACTTACTGTAATTTTTTTTTTTTTTTTTTTAGAATTTCATGTCATCCATTTGCAACCGTCTTTTTGAAGCACTGTTTCCTGGGTCTTCCTACCCAACTAGATTTTCAGCTTTAACCATTTTAGGCTCAATAGCTGAAGTTTTTCCTGTCCCAGAAGGTAAGCTTTCAATAATGTTTGGGGAAAGTAAGAATATATACTTTTTCAACATTTTGTTTTACTTTAAGTTTTAGTTTTGTTGTCTTTTGTTTAGGTTCTTATGGGAGGTTTTATTCTCAGTATGTAATTCTTACTTAGACATAATTAAACTTGTTAGTAAAAGATGTAAGGTTGAGAAGTTGTTTTCAGTGATCATTATTTCCCAACCCAAAACTCCAGTTTTCATGGATTATGCTTACTATGAGAAGAGTTGCTTCTCTCAACCCCCAATTCATGTGTTGCTATTTGAAGATAGTGTACAATCTGTTTTTAAGTTTTAAAAATTAAAAAAATAATAGTTTACGTATAGCATTCCTCAGTGAGTCTTTGTGGTTAAAATGTGGTTTCCCTTTTATGCTGTTAGTTTCATAAGCCTCAATCTGGTTTCAGAAAGACAACATGAGGATGTCATTTCCAGGCATTCTGGTTTAGTGATACCCTTTATTTCTCCTGTGGGTTACTCAAGAGGATGAACAGTTAGCTTCCTTCTGAGTCTGTTTTTTCCCTTTTTGACAACAAATAGTTCTTTTTATCTCTGTACTTGAGTGTGTACATTTTGATGTGGATTTCTTGTTTGTGCTCAGTTTTCCTGACTGTGGTCAAATAGAAAAATATCCTGCTATTGGAGAGGATGACCAGAGGACCAGGGAGCTTTACACTATAGCTGCCTTATTATTATTATTTTTTTTTTTAGTTTAAATTTGTAGGCAAAGTATAAATTTTTGGCAGGGAGGAGGACAGTTTTTTGCTGTTAATACAGCCTTGCTTCATTTAAGAACACCATTTTTTTTTCAAGTTTTTATTTTGAAAAGATTCAAACCAACAACAGCAAAGTTTCAAGAATAGTTCATGAACAGCCATGTACCCTCTACCTTAATTCATCAGTTATTAATATTTTGCTATATTTGGTTTATCTCCATTTCATTAATTTTCTAACCATGACACAATGATCAAATTCAGGATATTTAATGTTGACATGATGCTGTTATCTAATATATAATTCATAACAAAATTTGCCAGTTGTCCCAATAAGTGGCCTTTTTTAGAAAAGGGAGATTTGTACTGTGATCTGGGAACCAATCCAAGATTACACAGTGCATTTCGTTGTTATGCCTCTTTAGCCTCCTTTAATCTGGAAAATTTTTTATTTCATGACATTAACATTTTGCGAGAATGTGTCTTCATTTGGGTTTGCCTTATCGTTTCCTCATGATTGATTCAGGTTGGGCATTTTGGGCAGGAATATAGCAGAGGTAATGTGGTGTTCTTCTCTGGGCATCTTATCAGGAGGTACATGAGTTTGGGTTGTCCTGTTATTCATGATGATAAATTTGATCACCCGATTAAGATAATAAGTGTGGTAGGCCGAAAAGCAACCTACAAAGGATATCACCAAATCCTTAGAACCCGTGAATGTGAACCTTATGTAGAAAGGAGGTCTTTGTAGATATGACTAAATTAAGAATCTTAAAATGAGATAATCCTGGAATTTCTGAGTGGGCCTAAATGCCACCACAGCTGTTGTTGTTAGAGGAACAGAGGGAGATATGACACACAGAACAGGAGGAGTCACTGTGACAGTGGATGTGGGGATTGGAGTGATATGGCCTCAAGCCATAGAATGCTGGCAGCCTCCAGAAGTGGGACAAGGCAAAGAATGAGTTTTCCCTTAGAGCCTCTAGAGTGCATATGGCCCCACCAGCACCTTTATATCGGACTGATTGGATGTTAGTCAAAATGGCTTCCAGTATGGTGAAAAAGTAGATTTCTGTGGTTTTAAGCCCCCAGGTTTATGGTAATTTGTTACAGCATGCACAGAAGATGAATACAGTGGTATCCATCAGTTAAAGGAATTTCAGTTTTACTGGAACTGAATTTAGAAAATAAGGTTTTACCTGAGAATGATTGATTATCCATTTAACAAAAATTTTTCTGTATGTTTAATATAGTTATGGTTGCACCTAGGTGTATGGGAAATAACACTAGCCAGAACCCAGGGCACCTGGGTGGCTCAGTCATTAAGCGTCTGCCTTTGGCTCAGGTCATGATCCTGGAGTCCCTGGATTGAGTCCCGCATTGGACTCCCTGCTCAGCAGGGCGTCTCCTTCTCCCTCTGACCCTCCCCCCTCTCATGTACTCTCTCTCTCTCATTCTCTCTCTCAAATAAATAAATAAAATCTTTAAAAAATAAAAATAAAAAAATAAACATAAAAAGTGAATAACCTGAGTCATCTTCCTAATGAATGAGTCACATATAATTGGGCAGTGACTGATATCACAGTAATTATGTTAATTAAACAACTGGGAGTTAATGCAAATGGAGCAAGCCATCCTTTACCCATTAACTTTATTTATTTATTAGTTTTCAGAGAGGGAGAGGGGGTTGGGAGGGGTAGAAGGAGAGAGAGAGAGAGAGAAAGAGATAGAGAATCTTAAGCAGGCTCCATGCCCAGAGCAGAGCCTGATGCAGGACTGGATCTCATGACCTGAACTGAAATCATCCAGGCACCCCTTTAGCCATGAGCTTTAAATGAGGCTAAAGAAGCATGACCATGAATTACAGGATGGAAAACATAAATTCATTCTTTACCTTTATCTCAAGAACTTGAATGTGGGTTTTTATGTTATTTTTTGAAGGACTCTGATTTGGGATTAGTCAAAATGGTTTCTACCTTTCCTCAAGTATATCCTAGTTCAAGAAGAATAAGCCACGTGTACCTTTTTCACTTAGAATAAATGTCACAGTGTTCATGGTGAAAAATTGGATTCCACAATTTTATTAAAAGGGTTTGCCTAGCAAATGTTTATTTAATGCTTATTATATGTCAAGCAGCTAACAATATGCAGTGTATAAAACAAAATGCTTATTTTTGAGCTTAGATATTTTAGTGAAGGGAGACAGACAATAAATTAACAAGTAATACATAGAATATCAGATGGAGATAAGTATTATGAAAAAATATTTCAGGAAGGAAAGTGGGGGGAATATAGAGTGTCTAGGAGGATGGGGAGCTGTTTCATACAGTGGTGTCAGAGAAGGTTTCAGATTTGAGCAGAGCTCCTAAACAACCAGTGGGTCAAAGAAGAAATCACAAAGGAAATTAGAAAATACTTTGAGAGGAATGAAAACAAGAGCATAACTTACCAGAACTTACGGGATGAAGTGAAAGCAGTGCTCAAAGGGAGCTTTAGAGCTGTAAATCCCTAATTAAAAAGGAGAAAAGGGGGGTGCCTGGGTGGCTCAGTTGGTTAAGCGACTGCCTTCGGCTCAGGTCATGATCCTGGAGTCCAGGGATCGAGTCCCACATTGGGCTCCTTGCTCAGCAGGGGGTCTGCTTCTCCCTCTGACCCTCTTCCCTCTTGTGCTCTTTATCTCTCATTCTCTCTCTCTCTCAAATAAATAAAATCTTTAAAAAAAAAAAAATAAAAAAAATAAAAAGAAAAGATCTCAAATCAATAAGCTACTTTACACCTCAAGGAATGAGAAAAAGAAGAGCAAACCTAACCCAAATCTAGCAGAAGGAAGGAAATAAAGATTAGAACAGAGATAAATGAAATGGGGAATAGGAAAACATTATAGAGAAATCAATGAAAACAAAAGTTGGTTTTTCTAAAAGGTCAGCAAAATTGTAGCTATACTAAGAATAAAACAAAAGAAGGTGCAAATAACTAAGATCAGAAATACAAGCAGGGACATTTCTACTGGCATTACAGAAATAAAAAGGATTGTACTTTCAATGAATTAGGTAACTTAAATGAAATGGACAGATTCCTAGAAACATACAAATTACTGACTTAACAAATAGAAAATTTGTTATCTGTAACAAATAAGAGGTGGGGGTCAGTAGTCAAAAGCCTCTCAGCAAAGGAAAGTCCAGAGGAAGTGGCTTCACTGGTGAATTCTACCAAACGTTTAAAGAATTAACATTAACAAACTTGTAAAAATTGGACAGGAGGGAACATTTCCAAACTCATTCTGTGAAGCCAGCATCACTGTGGTACCAAAGCCAGACAAAGCCACCACAAGAAAAGAAAACTATAGGCCAGTATTCCTTATGAACATAAATGCAAAAATTCTTAACAGAATACAAGCAAACCAAATCCAACACCGTATTAAAAGTATTATACCCATGACTAAGTGGAATTTATCCCAGTAATGCAAGGGTGTTCAATGTAAGAAAAAAATAGTCAATGTAATATACCACATTAAAATGAAGGGGAAAAAACCCATGATAATCTCAATTGATGCAGAAAAGCTGTTGACAAAATTCAGCATCCTGATATGATAAACACTCAAGAAACTAGGAATAGTAGGGAGCTTCCTCAGTAGGATAAAGGACATTCATGAAGAACCCACACTTGACACCAAACTCAATGGTAAAAGACTGAAAGTCTTTCCTCTGTGATCAGGAACAAGACACAGAAGCTGATCACCACTCCTGATCACCATTATATACTGAAAACTTTAGCCGGAGCAGTAAGGCAAGAAAAAGGAATGAGAAGCATCTGAGTTGGAAAAGAAGCAAGTTTAAGCAGAGGTGTGAATGAAGTGATAAAAAGTCCATTTACTTGCTCTAGGAATTTCACGGGTTGCACTAACTTGTGAGTTAAGATTAAATAAGAAATGCATATTATATTGAACATCATTCTTCAAATTAGCATAGGCATGTTTTCAGGTGTTATCAGAGTGGTTAATTTGTTAAATGTTGTTAAATGTTCTTTACATTCTGCCGTGAAACCCATTATTGCCACAATTGTTTAGTCTTAAATCTCGGAGTTAAATGGATTTGGTGACTGCCATCATTCTTTTGTGATAGTTTTTCTGTTCATTTCTTCATTGGCTGAAATTCATCTTCATTTTGAGAAGAGTTTTTGGGGAGATATAGTTCTTAATTTCTCACACATTCAAAAATGCTTCTATTGACATTGTACTTGATGCTGGAGTAGGATTTTTTAAATATTTATTTATTTACTATTCAAGAGAGAGAGAGGGCATGCAGGGGAAGAGGCAGAGGGGGAGAGAGAATCCTCAAGCAGACTCTCCCCTGAGCGTGGAGCCCAACGCAGGGCTGGGTCTCGCGACATTGAGATCAAGACCTGAGCCAAGATCAAGAGTTGGATACTTAACCGACTGAGCCACCCAGGTGCCCCTAGAGTAGGATTTTGATGTATAATTTTTCACCATACCTTTCCCTGAGGATGTTGCTCCACTGTCTTCTAGCACTACATGTTGCTAAGGTAAAGAGTAAAGCCAGCCTAACGTTTTCCCATCTCCCAATTCATTTTGGAGATGAATTGAACTTTGTGCCTGAATAGCCAGAAGACTCTTTCTTTATCTTTGATGCCCAGTAATTCTAGGATACATCATCATATCAATTATTCTGTGTCGGTTTAACTAAGACATGGTAGGACTTTGGATTCTAGGTTAAGACATTTTACAAAGATTTTTTAAAAGACATATTCCTAAACTTATTTCATTTTATTTGAAAGCTAACTTAGGAATCTTTTATATACAATATAACCTTTTGAAAGAGAATGAAGTGGTTTTAAACAAAATTTTAAGAAGTACTTTTTATTTAGGGAGCTTTAATATTTATTTTATCATTTTAGGAAATAAATTAAGGAAAAATTATTCTTTTATGCTAATGTGGGTAAACTGTGAAGTGTGAATCTTTGTGCCAGTTTTCTATAAATTTGCTCAGATAACTTCCACATGTTGATTTCCCTTTTTTATTAATTATTAAAATAATTCATTTTTAATTATTTTAAGGAGGCTCCATGCCCAACGTGGGTCTTGAACTTCCGAGTCTGAGATCAAGAGTCACATGCTGTATCAACTGAGCCAGCCAGGCGCCCCCTCTTGTATTCACTTTTAAATCTTTTTCTATTTTTAGGTCAAGTCCAAACAGTGTATCAACTGAGTCATGATATTGATGTAGGTCGTTTCCAAACACTAATGGAATGTTTTACCAGCACTTTTGAAGAAGTGAAGATTTTAGCATTTGATCTTCTAATGAAGTTACCAAAAACAGTTGTACAATTTCAGGTATTTGGACTTTTTCTTTGGAAATGCGAATGTGGTGTATGCATGAAAACTTTCTATTTTAGCAGCAAATAAAGCAGTCTGTAGATTGTGCAGGCTTTTTGCATCTGCCTTCTTATATCTTCTGTTTCAGTTATCATTAATACTTTTACTGTTGCAGGATGGTAGGTTGGAGGAGGTAGGGATGGATGGTGTGAAAGGAGGAAATATAAGAGAAAAAAACCTCCAAATTCATGAGCTTTGCTTCTTTTATTGTTTTGATAAAAAGGAAGGTGTAAGAAGCAGTAGGTTTTATTGCTCACAAGAGTATTGGTAGATTTCAGTTAACTGCGGTCTCCCAAGTTCCCGTGGACATGTTAATATTCTGTCAAAACACATCACTTACAGTAATGTGTGTTTTTTGAGATAACATCCTTGCTAAGTTGACTGGGAAGCTGAGTGTAAGTGAGGCAGAGACCATGTTTCTGATCTTCCAACAAGCAATAGCTAAACTGAGACTGAAACTCAGAGTACTTGAGGTTAACAGCAGTTTTCTATCCTGGCCTTCCACCCCATCCCTAGCCCCCACTCTCTTCCTGACAGCAGGCACTGCCAACCATGTGGTAGGAAGCAAAGGTGGGCTCGGGAGTGTGGGCACAGCATGGGGATGGGTCTGCAGGGGATCCCCTAGCCTAAGTGCTTGGCTCTGCCCTTGAAGTATGTTCTGGGGCTGTGAGGTCACCAGCAGCTGTGGGTTTACTATTCTAGAGCTTTGCTATGGCTTTCTGTTAGAGCTGTATAGAGGCCGAAGGCACCTACAGGGGCTGCCACTGAGCCATGGTCTGTTCTCTGGCTGTTAGGCTCTATTTAGGGTAGGATAGCTTGTAGATGCAGTGGGAATCTTTTTTTTTTTTTTTTTAAGATTTTATTTATTGATTGATTTATTAGAGAAAGAGCATAAGAGCAGGGGGGAGGGGTAGAGAGAGAGGGAGAAGCAGGTTCCCCACTGAGTAGGGAGCCCAATGCCGGGCTTGATCCCAGGACCCCAGGATCATGACCAGAGCCAAAGGCAGACGGCTAACTGACTGAGCCACCCAGGTGCCCCGAGATGCAGTGGGATTCTGTAGGAGCACATGTCAGAGGACACATGGTGTCTGTTTCCATGGCTTCCAAATGGCATTGCAGGATCTTCTCTAACTTGGGTCTGTATTAGGAGTTGTTCTCCAGTGTCCATTTATCTTTGTGGTCTTTCAGATGCTTTGGTAAGCAAAAGCTTCTTTTGGTGCTTAGGCTTCTAACTTTTGTAAAATATAGTTTTTAAAGGAGATGCTTTCTCTTCCTTTCTTCTCTCCCACCTTCCCATCCTCCTTGCCCCTTACCATTCATCACACTGAAGCCTTGTATCATATATATAACTGTGACTCATTCCTGGCAAATATTTTGTGAATATCTTGGGGGAGGGGGTATATTACAGCACCTATATGAAAGACTTGGTCCTTTGAGATAACTTTATTTTTTGTTTTTTTATTTATTTTATTTTTTTAAAGATTTTATTTATTTATTTGACAGAGAGATAGCGAGAGCAGGAACACAAGCAGGGGGCGAAGGAGAGGGAGAAGCAGGCTTCCCACTGAGCAGGGAGCCCGATGCTGAATTCAATCCCAGGACCCTGGATCATGACCTGAGCCGAAGGCAGACGCTTAACGACTGAGCCACCCAGGTGCCCCATAAGCTTAATTTTTAATTTGGCTATAGGTATACCAATATTTACTTTAATTGGAAATCTATTTCCAATAGTTATCAAACATACTGATTCAAGGGGCGCCTGGGTGGCTCAGTCGTTAAGCGTCTGCCTTCGGCTCAGGTCATGATCCCAGGGTCCTGGGATTGAATTCAGCATCGGGCTCCCTGCTCAGTGGGGAACCTGCTTCTCCCTCTGCCTTTTCCTGCCCCTCCCCCTACTTGTGCTCACGCTTTCTGCCAAATAAATAAATAAAATCTTTAAAAAAAATTAAGCTTATAATGATTTTCCCCTTGTATTAGACAATTATGGAGTAATCCTAGTAGAATTAATATTATTGAGCAGTGAAATCCTGAGACCCAGTGTATTGAACATGTTATTTGCCAACCATGGAGTTGGGATGAGGACCCACGTCTCTTGACCTCAGCTCAGGGCCTTTCCATACACGTTACAGTGAACTGTCCTTTGTTCTGTCTTCTTTAGGACATGCATGTGAGTGGATGTTTCTATGACATACAGGTGTGGGAGCTCTGATGCAGAATTTCTGAGGCTGATATGATCACTTTATTTTCTGCACATATATGGATCTTTGCTAGGAATAGTCTGATGGATTTGTACTTTTGTGTGAATTTGTATTTTTTTCCATTGAATTCGCTGAATGGAGAGGGGGATGGGGGAAGTGCAGTAGTATGCTGCCCAGGTAAAAGAAACTTCAATGTACAAAAAAACTCTGGTCCATGTGGACATAAGAAAGATGATCTGGCCAGTCATAGCAGAAGTTCTACAGGAAAAAGCATACTTCTGCTGGAGAAAGAGGTACTGAAAAAAAAAAACTTTATCAGTGTCGAATTTCCCAATTGACATTATTTTCAAGATCCTCATCACTAGAGCTGAGTAATAATGATAATCAGTAATTACTATAATAAAGTCTAACCTGTATTCTGGGAAGAAGGGAATTGAAGTAATGTTTATATCAAGTTTCAGTTATGTGCAGGCTCTGTTTTTAAATTCCTTCAAATTAGGGGCGCCTGGGTGGCTCAGTAGTTAAGCGGCTGCCTTCGGCTCAGGTCATGATCCCACGGTCTTGGGATCGAGCCCTGCATTGGGCTCCCTGCTCAGCGGGAAGCCTTCTTCTCCCTCTCCCACTCCCCCTGCTTGTGTTCCTTCTCTCGCTGTGTCTCTCTGTCAAATAAATAACATCTTTAAAAAAAAATAAATTCCTTCAAATTAAAGAAATGTTTCAGTGACAGTTACTGAGTCTGTGCTTTATTCTAGGATTCAGAGAAACTGCAAGGCTTATTCCAAGCAGCATTGGAGCTCAGCTCAAGCACTAAACCATACGACTGTGTGACAGCTTCCTACCTGTTGAATTTCTTAATCTGGCAGGATGCCCTGCCCTCATCTCTGTCTGCCTCCTTACAAACTCAGCAAGCTGTATGTGGAGATGGAGATAAGTCTGCTATTGTGGTGGAGAGGAACACATTAATGGGTTTGTATTGAATAAATGACCTTTTGCTGTTGCTTACCCAAACCAGTGTCTTACTCTCTCGCTATTCATTTAGTTAGCATAGCTAGTGGTTAAACATTTGTTTTGTGTTTTTTAAATTTTTTTAATTTTTTAAAAGATTTTCATTTATTTGAGAGAGTGAGTGAGAGAGAGAGATTGAGAGTACAAGCAGGGGGAGTGGCAGAGGGAGAGGGAGAAGCAGGCTACCCGCTGAGCAGGGAGCCCGATTTGGGGCTTAATCTCAGGACCCTGGGATTATGACCTGAGCCGAAGGCGATGCTTAACCAACTGAGCCACCCAGGCACCCCTATTTTGTGTTTTTTTTTTTAATTGAAGAGTTTACTAGCATATAAGAATACTGTGAATTTCTCTTTTGCAAGTAAATAGCTTACTCAGCTATAACACTGTTTCTAAACAGAGGGTTCATGTTAAATAAGTAGATTACACAAATGTACATTATTAAAGCTCTTATTTAAATAGGACGTCTTGGGACACTTGGGTGGCTCAATTGATTAAATGTTTGCCTTCAGCTCGGGTCATGATTCCAGGGTCCTGGGATCGAGTCCCACATCCGGCTCCTTGCTCAGCAGGGAGCCTTCTTCTCCCTCTGTCTGCTGCTCCCCCCTGTTTGTGCTCTCTCTCTACTTCTCTCTCTCTCTCTGACAAATAAATAAAATCTTAATAAATAAATAAATAAACAGGACGTCTTTCTCTACCAAAAATGTACTTTTGGGGGAGGCAGAAATTTTACTATGACTATAGCTAGATCATCTTTGCTATTTCTATAAAGAGCAGAGTTCCTTTGTCTATCAGATTTGTGTTTTAACTGACTGTCACACCCCTGCCTTTTACTCTTCCCATATAGCCAGTTCTAAAACCTAGTTGGTTGGTTTAGGTCTAGTGATTTCCAGCAAGTATTTCTTGGGGATTCATGTGCTTAATTTTGTGCTGGTAAATATTCACTTTGGAGTTGTATTATAAATAAGGACAGATATGGATTTTTATTTAAAAAAAAAGAGAGAGAGAAAGAGAGGTCAGATGTAGGAAGAGTGTTAAAAACTGTTCTCTCCAAGATGGTAAAAAATGCCCCGAGGAAGAGAACTAATAATGGGAGAAAATTAGGAGGCCATGGGTAGTTCTGGTAGAAATGGGGATAAGGAGGGGACAGTGCCATGGAAGATGGCACTTGTCCACTCTAGTTGCTTCAGGGCTGGGCTCAAAAGGAGACCCTGATACGTGACAGGAAGAGGTTTGTATTTGGGGTCAACTGTTCATGTACAGGCTTTCAAATTCAAGTCATTTAAAAACTCCATGAGATATTTCAAGCATACAAAAATAATTTAGGGGCGCCTGGGTGGCTCAGTTGGTTAAGCGACTGCCTTCGGCTCGGGTCATGATCCTGGAGTCCCGGGATCGAGTCCCACATCGGGCTTCCTGCTCGGCGGGGAGTCTGCTTCTCCCTCTGACCCTCTTCCCTCTCGCGCTTTCTATCTCTCATTCTCTCTCTCTCTCTGAAATAAATAAATAAAATCTTTAAAAAAAATAATTTAAATATAGGTATAGAATTTAAATAATAATAGTATAAAAATGTCACAAGTTTTATTCCCAAGCTAGGTTATAACACCCAACTTAAGAAATACAATAACACCCATACCTTTAAAGCTTCTCTTCTATCCTAGCTCCCTCCCCCTGCCATATAATTACTCTCATATGGTTTATGTCAGACTTTCATCTTATTTTTACCAAGATTTTACCACCCATGTATATATCATTAAATAATATTTTACTTACTTTTACATGACTTTGAATTTTATATAAATAGTACCATATGTATTATATGAATTTACTGCATTTTATTAATACATTCTCCTGTTGAGGGACTTCTTTTTTCTAAATAAATAATGTTGATGTGAACATTCTCGTATATATCTCTTCTAATGGACGTGTCTAAGAGTTTATGGTAAACAAAAAAGTAGAATAGCCTAGTCATAAAGTATGTGCATCTTCAACTTAACTAGATGATGCCAAATTATAAATTTTGAGAGTTGTGGTGTATTACATCATCACTATAACTTGCTATTGTCAGATTTTAAAGGTTTACGGGATATGAAGTAGCTGTCTTGTGGTTTCATCTTGCGTTTTTCTTGTTGTTAATGTAATCGAGCATCTTTTTACATGTTTATAAGCACTTCACTTCTCCCCTTCTGTGAAATGCCTGTTCATGTTCTTCATTTAGTTTTCTGTAGGGCTGTTTATCTTTTTCCTATTGATTTTTAGGACTTCTTTGTATATTTTAAATGTTAATAATTTACTGGTTATACACAGTTCTAATTAAACTATAACTCTTGAGTGGTGAGAGGTGACATCGACTATGCTGGGATAACTGGATAGTTACCTGCAAAAGAATGAAGTTGAACCCACTTCTTCATACCATATACAAAAATTAATTTAAAATGGATCAAAGACCTAAATGCAAAAGCTAAAAACAATAAAACTCTTAGAGGAAAACATGAGTGTAAATCTTTGTGATCTTAGGTTAGGTAGTGGTTTCTTAGATTTGACACCCACAGCACAAGCAAAGAAAAAATAGATAAATTGGACTTAATGAAAATTTGAAACATGTGTGTCAAGGATGTCATTAAGAAAGTGAAAAGACAACCTGTAGAATGGGAAACATACTTGCGACTCCTTTATCTGATAAGGGACTTATATCTAGAATATATAAAGAATTTTTACAACTCCCTAGTAAAAGGATATAACCAAATTTAAAAATGGACAAAGAATCTGAATAGACATTTCTCCTAAAGGATAAATGTGAAAAATAATCACATGAAAAGATGGTCAGCATATTAGCCAGTAGGGAAATGCAAATCCAAATTACAGTGAGGAAGCACTTCACCCCAGTAGGGTGGCTATAAACAAGAAAATAGATAATAACAGATGCTGAGGGGATGTGGAAAAAGCAAAGCCCTCACACACTGCCGGCAGGAATGTAAAACGGTGCAGCTACATTGGAAAACAGTCTGGCAGTTCCCTGGAAAGTTAAACATGGCGTTACCATATGATCCGACAGTTCCACACTCAGGCTGCTGTAACAAGATACCATCGCCTGGGCGGCTTAAACAACAAACATCTCTCTCTCACAGTTCTGGAGGCTGGGAAGTTCCAGATTAAGGTGGGAGCAATTTCAGTTCCTGGTGAGAACCCTTTCCCTGGCTTCAGATAGCACCCTTCTTGCTCTATGCTCACATGGAGGGGATATCGGTTCTGGTCTCTCTTCCTCTTCTTATAAGGACTCTAATCCTGTCATTGGGCGGAGGGGGGAGTCCCACTCTCACAACCTCATCTAAACCTAATTTCTTCCTAAAGACTCCATTTTCAAATATGGGGCTTGGGGCTTCAAATAGGAATTTTGGGAAGGACATAAACATTTAGTCTATACTGGGCATATATTAAGAGAAATGAAAAGTATGCCCAAACAGAAACTTGTATGTGAATGTTCACAGCAGAATTATACTTAATAGCCAAAACATGGAAATAACTCCCATGTCCGTTAACTGATAAGTAGATAAATAAAATGTGGTATGTTCATACAGTGGACTGTTATTCAGCCATAAAAAGGAATGAAATAGTGATGCATGCTACAACATGGATGAACTTTGAAAACGCTGTGCTAAGTGAAAGAAGCCACATATTTTATGATTCTGTTTATGTATGTCCAGAATAGGCAAATCTATAGAAAATAGATAAGTTTTTTCTTAGGGCTGGGGAAGGGGAGAGGTGCAGGGAGGGGACTGACTGATAATGGGTAAGGGTTTTTTGGGGGGAGGATTAAAATGTTCTAAAATTCACTGTAGTGATGATTGCATATATCTATGAATATACTAAAAACCATTGACTTATATACTTTAAATGTATGAATTGTGTGGTATGTGAATTATATCTCAATAAAGCCATTATTTAAAAAAAACACAAAACAACAACTGTTCAAATAGCACATGGCACATGGGCCTGGGGTCTGATTCCCCAGATAGAGGATGTCTAGGAGGAACGATTCAGAGTGAATGCTGAAAATGGATCCAGGAAGTTAGGGAAAGACACAGTTCTGCCTTCTTGACTGGAAATATATAGCAGGCTGGATAACTTTGAAAAATCTCTTTTTTAATATAAAACCTCTAACAAAGTTTAGTTGAGTTGGATGTTTTTTTGTGGGGACTGCTTAGCTATTCACAAATTTATAAATGTGTTTTTAAGCTGGCATTACTTTGGTTTTTTGTTTGCTTTTTCTAGTTATCAAATGCTTGTTGGAAAATCTTGAGGAAGAAGTATCTCTGGCTGAAAATTCTCTCCTTCAGGCAGCAGCATCATTTCCACTGTATGGGCGAGTTCACTGTATAACGGGCGCTTTGCAGAGGTTATCTCTAAAGTACGTGTACCACAGCTGTCTCCTGAGCGTGCTTTTCTGAGCTTTAAACCCTTACTGCAATGTGTCCTGGGAAAGGAATATATTGCCTTAAAGATAATTAAAAATTAGATTTAAAAATTTACCTATGTATACGTATTTTTATATCTTAAATATTTCATAGATCGCACAATTTTGAAGCAGATTCAACCTTTTATGTAATAATTTTCTTTAAAAATTTTTGAATTTTGCTTTTAGTATAAATTTCCGTACTGTCCTTGTTGCAGCAGCCTACGGTTGGTGAGCGAATGGAGACCTGTGGTAGAGAAGCTCCTTTTGATGTCTTACAGGCTTTCTGCTGTGGTGTCTCCGGTCATTCAGAGCTCCTCCCCAGAAGGCCTCATCCCAATGGACACTGATTCAGGTCAGCAAATGAAAAAAGCTAGAATTCCTATATTTTTTGCTCATTACGCCTCTCCCCGCCAAATCATTTCTTTGGGAAGATACAGAAGCTAAGTAGGTGGGTCAAGAAGCTATTTATTATGATTAGTGATATTTCTGCCACTGTAGTAATGTTTTTAACTCTTAAAAAATAACCAAAACAAATAAATAAACCAGGTGATGAGCAAGGTACTTCCTCTTCTGGGGTAAATTGGATTTCCTAATACTGTCATTTCAGAGCATCACCTACCAGGTAGCTGCTGGGGCTGGGAGAGTGAGCAATATAAATCAGGGAGGTGGGGTTTAGTCAGAGATGGCAGCTTATTAGGAATCAGGAATTTAATTAAAACAAAAAATGGGAGGAGATACTCAAAATGCCCCATTGAACTCACGAACTTTCATCTGCCTTTTCCCTACCAACTCGTGTCTTTGCAAATGGCCCTACCAAAGATCTGTTTGTGCAAGTCAAGAGCCTGGGAGTGCTTGACATCTCTCTTCTGTTCTTACATCTTGCCTGTCCTCATGTTCTTTCAGTGGTGCCCCTTAAATATCTCTCAAACGTGTTTTCTTTTTATCTGCCATCTTCTTACCTTACTCCAGGCTTTTGTCTCTCTTGTTTGTGTAACTCTAGGGCCCTCCCATTTGGTTTCCCCGCATCTACTCTTGGCTCCTTCCATTTTCTTTTATAGTGTATCCACAGCAGTCTTTTCTACTCATGTAATTCATCATGTTACGCATAATCTCTACTTAACTCTTGTGCTCTGCCCCACCCCATTTGTTTAAAATACTTGAGTGACCTCAGACTAGGTCCTCTAATAGTTGGGCTCCTGCAACCTTGCCAGTCTCGTCTCTTTTTCTTCCCAAAGTGTTCTTCATGGAGTTGTTGCGATTTAAGAGGGATTTTATCGATACTTTCCTCCGTTGTCCTTGGCAAGTGCCTGGTAGAAATAGGCATACAATAAATACTTGTTATAATGAATAAATCAATGAATGAGCAATTCCAGAAAGGATAGGAACTAAACCCAGTGTGTGGGACACTGTAGGTGGCATATATATATATATACATATATATATATATATATATATATATATATACCTGTACTATAACAGCCAGAAGGGATTTGGCTGTGAACGGTGTACATTTGGTGTTGAAGTAGTTTGTGAATGCAAGTAAAGTTTGAGGAGTGCAAATGAGAGGCTTGTATTAAAAACACACTGAGCATATCATAAATACCCAATTAAAGTAACTTGGTGTTGTGTGTTTGCATAGAAAATGTTAGGTTTTGTTCTCTACTAAAAATGAATTGGCAGATTGGTCATGGTTCATGAGTAAGACACAATTATTTGTTTATTTTGTTTATTTTGTCTGGTATACCAAAATTTGATGTTTTAGTTTTCCTACTTAAACAATACGTGGGAATAAGAAACATCCAATCTTAAAGCTAGTATTTGGATCAGGCAAGTACCAGTATATTCTGGATGAGAAATCTTGAATATTTTTCACCTATGGTGGGTGGGGCCTATAAAGTACGCTAAAATTCTGTTATTAAGTTTTAAAATGTCCGTTGGTCTCAAGAACAGTCTGTGGCCCACAGACTTTTCCTTGATTTTGCCTTTTCTTTTTTCCTCGGGTTGTCTCTATTATTCCTGTTTCTGTTCCACATTATCTACCATGCATTCTGAATTCCTTGAAAACGTTTCCTCTGAAAGCCATAAAAACGAATGGGTAAAATTTTATTCTGATCATCCTTTTTTTCTTAGTCTTTCCATGGTTTCTATTTGGAACCAGTGTTACTTTTTCATGGCTGTCAAAATTTGTTTTGGCAATATTTCATGGAAGCCACAAGTGAACATAAGATGTTGGTTGAATCATCCTGATAGCCCTTTGTGTCTTTGTATCTCCTATAAGACCGAAAATGTAAGTGTATCTAGGGACACCTGGGTGGCTCAGTTGGTTGAGCATCTGCCTTCGGCTCGGGTCATGATCATGGAGTCCTGGGATCAAGTCCTGTGTCGGGCTCCTTGCTAAGCTAGGAGCCTGCTCCTCTCTCTGCCTGCTTGTGCATGTTGTCTCTCTCTCTGACAAATAAATAACTAAAATCTTTAAAAAAAAGTAAGTGTATCTAATAGGTATATAAAATACCTGTTCTTTGATTTATTAATTGGTTTCAGGTGACTAGCTGTTATTTTTTTTTCTTAAAGTATCTGAGCCTGCCTAGCTCTTCATTACCTCATCATCTGTTCATTCCCTTAGCCCATTGTTACTGAACCTCTGCCATGAGCCAGTTTCTGTTATAGGTGCTGGTGACTCAGCAGTGAACAAAGTGTTGCATTCGTGGAGCTTACATTTCCTAATCCATTGAGTGCTTAAGGAATAAAAATGAAGTTCAATACAATACTAGGGCTGTAAATCATACTTAGAAAGCAGTATATTACCTAATGCATTTCAAAGTCAAATACAAAGTCTTTATCATATTCCTGAGCTCTAAAAGATTTTTTTATTTTTAATTAAAGTACAGTTGACAATACAGTATTGTATTAAAGATTGTTTTTGTTGTGGTGGTTTCTTACCTCTTAAAACCAAATTGCCTGAAGTTTAGTGCTCTTTTTTCACATGATTGAGCACCATATTTGAGATTCTTAGACAACACTAAGAAAAGCAATGTAAAAGAAAGAAAGAAAAGCAGTGTAAATGAGATGATGGTCTTTGTCTTGTGGAGAGTTTCTGTTGTGTTGTTTTGTCCTGTCTTCAACCAATTTAAAATTTTGGCCACATTTTAAAAGCACACTCAAGTGTCATGAAGACCTTAATAAGTAATTTTCACATTATCTACCCCATGAGTCCCTTCTAATAGAGCTGATTATCAAGTGTTAAAAATTATAAAATTCGGGGCACCTGGGTGGCTCAGTCAGTTAAGCATAGGACTCTTGATTTTGGATCATGTCATGATCTCAGGGTCCTGAGATCAAGCCCTGCGTGGGGCTCCCTGCTGAGCATGGAGCCTGCTTAAGAGTCTCTCTCTCCCTGTCCCTCTGCTCCTTCCCCCTCCCACCCCTGCTTGGCGAGCTCTCTCTCTCCAAAAAAAAAAAAATTACAAAATTGAGGGCAAATACTCCCAAGGGAAATCGCATGGGCTGTAGGACTGTGATTTATGCACTCCCTTCTCTCTCCCTCAGAGTCAGCAAGCCGCTTACAGACGATTCTGAGTGAGATTCAACCACGAGATACTAATGATTACTTCACTCAAGCCAAAATACTCAAAGAACGTGATAGCTTTGATTTGGAGGACTTGAATGCCAGTGTGCCAAATATTGGTGCTTCAGCAGAGATCAAAGGTAGCATGTATAAAATCAACATTGTAGTATTGTAATTGGTGTTTCAGTGACATAATGTACAAAATGTTTTTTATATAGTAAATCAGGCTGCAGATGTTTGCAGAACATTTCTAGAAAATAAAGTCTTTGAGCTTATCAGTGATTTATTTTGGGGAATGTGTAAATGGTGCACCCCAGTGCAGTATGTAAGGTGCTACAACAGAAAGCTTTGAGTGCTAACACCTGTCTTGGCAGCCAGGTGGTGCTCCTTGGTCAACTTGGGTTTGGGCCACAGTCGGCTTCTAGTGATGTGGTTCACTGTCTGTAGTGAGAGTCGTTACAGTCAAGCAGCCTTTTAAGAGAAATCAGCCTTATTACTCAGTGAAGTGTGAGCTGCTCGGGTGTATCAAGCCTCCAGAAGTTGTGTTCTTACTGCTTGTTTTCTCATTAGTTGTTATTTTATCATTTTCTGTAATTCTATAAAAAGTCATCAGCAGTAATCTTAGTAACTTATTATGTATTCTACATTCTCCACTAGATGGAGATATTGTCTCATTAAAATTTCTGTGATTTTTTTAAATTACACAACATAACATCTAAGTATATGCTTATTGTAATAGTTTCAAGCAATACAGAGGTAAATTTGAATTAAAAACAACTTAAAGGCTTAATTAAAATTTCAATTCAGTGTTTACATTTTACCTTAAAAAAAAAAGAACAAAAAACGGAATTAAAGTTCTTAATTGACTCCCCGTCCCACTTCTTCTCTTCTGAGTGTATGTGCTTTTAGCTCTATTCTATATATTGATGTGTGTCTGCATTTACTCTTTTAGTTTAGTGGGCTTTTAAGAAACACAAGTGGGTTGCTTTGTTAACTTGCCTTTTAAATTATCTTGGATTTTTTTTTTAATGTTAATACTAAAATATTCTAAAAGCTAGAAAAAGAGAGTAAGCATAATTGGTGCTTATTGGCTGTGGAATTTAAATATATTTTGAAAGAGAATTTATATTTTCCTTTGATTTTAAAAGTTTTATCCTGCCCCTCTACTGATATAACAGCAATCTCACCAAGATGAATAATGAAATATATTTATTATAGTCATAATTTATGGAGGACTTTAGAGGCAGAAAGGGTTTGTTTCACTAATGTCTGAGAGTTAGACTTAGTTTTTGAAATGGTATTATGTTTTATTTTAAAATTTATTTTGAAAATAGTATATTAAAAAAATACTTAGCATGATTCTTACTTAGAGCACATGCTCAACAAATGTTACTTGTTTTATCATGAATAAATATAACAATTGGTTTGTTCAAGTGGATTGTTCTTGGGGAAATTATGAATAATCTTATTCTAAGAAACCTGGGATGTGAGTAATCAAGTGTCTAGTGTTGCAATAGATTTTTTTTTTTTTAAGGTAAAGAAAGAAAAACATGTGATGTCACTGCTCAGATGGTGCTGGTATGTTGTTGGCGAAGTATGAAGGAAGTTGCTTTACTTTTAGGCACACTGTGCCAGCTTCTTCCCATGCAGTCCCTGCCAGAATCTTCCAATGGCTTACTGACAGTGGAGCAGGTAAGGGAGCTGTTTATTCCACCTGGTATAATTTCTGGTCATGTGACTCAACTCAAACAAACATGAGTTTTGAATTTTTCTTGAATAAAATCCTACAGATGTCAACTGAAGGAAATTCACGGTAGTATAGAAATTAGACCTTGCACTACATTTCAAAACTATGGCACTTTTAGAAATAGTTTTATTTTTCTAAGTTATAAATAACTGTAGATTTTACCTTCTAACTTCAATATTGTCATTTTAATGTTTATTTTTCCACTTTCCACTTAAACTGTACATTTAAATGAAATTGTTTAGTAAAACTCCACAAACCGGGGCACCTGGGTGGCTCAGTCATTAAGCGTCTGCCTTCCGTTCAGGTCATGATCCCACGATCCTGGGATCGAGCCCCACATCAGGAGCCCGCTTCTCCCTCTCCCACTCCCCCTGCTTGTGTTCCCTCTCGCTGTGTCTCTATCAAATAAATAAATAAAATCTTTAATAATAAAAAAAAACTCCACAAACCTCTTAAATTTTGTGAAGGAAAAAAAGTAATATATTGGTTGATTATGGATCTCTTGTTTCCCACTACATTGATAATAAAGTGTAGTCCCTTTGGTTTTTTGGCTGACTTTTATTTTAAGACCACAAAGTCCATTCGCCATCTGGGACTGTTCAAGTGACTTGAGTGCAGTGTTTACAAGAAATTAGCTTACCACAAGCATTTCATTTGGAAATATTTTAGATTTATTAGATTTCTGTTTTTAATTGATTCCCTCTTCCTTTCCATATGGTTTCAACAAATCTCTTTCCCACCATTTTCCAGCAAAGATCTATAACACATACTTTCATTTTTAACCTTTTTCAAATAAAGATAATTTTTCCCCAAGGGTGTTACAACATTTAAGAACAAAACAAATATTGTAGTACGCTAAATGCTGATTATTTCTATAATAACCATGTGACTAGTTCCATGGAAATAATGCTAATATTTTTATTCTCACACTCTGTGGCCATGTGCTTGCATCTGGTTAACAGCTGGGCCTGTGATGTTGCAAGGCCCTGAGATGGAGACCAGCCGAGGGGAACAGTACACTGCCGGCATCATTGTGTTCCTTATTCTCTTCCAAATCAAATAGGCGTCAGTGTTCTAGAGTTACTTGCAGTCATTGCTGGTGACCAGCTGGAGTGCCAATGCCAACATCTTTGCTGAGGAACCCAGCTATGATTAATGATTACTTCACTGATGTTCACCGTCTTACTAAGAAGTAAACATGTGCTAGAGTCTCTTCACTGTTCAACTCCTCTTTTCAAGGACAAGTTAAAACATCTAGTTTTTGGGGATTTGTTGGATAGTGTTTAAAAAAAACAGGGAAACAGATTTTGCTTTTACTGTAGTTGAGAAAGACTTGAAAGCTTCCTGTGAAAACCATCTGGCCTTGACATCTTTTCCATAGCACCCAAATCTTTTGAATTTAATTTATGTGGGAGAACTATGTTGGAATTGAGAATTTATATAAAATAAAAGAGATGTTTGTAAAAAAAAAACCCCAAAACCCCCCAAAAAACAACAGCAACAATAACAGAGAGGCTCTTATAAAGCAAAGAACTCTTCTAATGACTGTTTTCTTGAATAAAAAATGAGTCTTGTTTTTCTGTAAAATATTAATTTCTATTCTAGTGAGATTCAGTCATTTTTCCATGTCGCTGTTCATGTGGTGGTATCACATTTTTGGTTTGAGAAGAAATTAACTACTGAATGAGTAATCAAGAATGTACGGGATAACGCTGTTCCAACCTTGAAACCCTGCCACTTGTGGAAGACTTTATTCTTGATCCTGGTGTCTTTAACTAGAAGAAATGCCTCAGTTTAGGAACATTTAGTCAATGAAAATCAAACTCATCAAGAAATTAGTGTTATTCATATTGCTAGAGGATTCCTACTTTTATTTATTTATTTATAAAGATTTTATTTATTTGACAGAGAGAGACACAGCAAGAGAGGGAACACAAGCAGGGGGTGTGGAAGAGGGAGAAGCAGGCTTCCTGCCGAGCAGGGAGGCCGATATGGGGCTTGATCCCAGGACCCTGGGATCGTGACCTGAGCCGAAGGCAAACGCTTAACGACCGAGCCACCCAGGCACCCCGAGGATTCCAACTTTTAAACAAAACTTTCCTCCATGAAATTCTTCTAAATTAAAAATACAAACATGTACTTAAAACTTTTGAGAGTTAAAAATATGTACATGATAGAGAAGAAGGTAATTTCCACTGGAGTGGCTGGGCCATGCCTGAGGTCCACCTTCCTTCCAAGGACACAGTCACCATTACAAAACAACATCTTTTGTGCACCTATCAGCAAAACTAAGAATTTAAGAGTCAGTACCTTAGGTGAGGGTGACCATAACAGACGTGCACGGACAGAGGCAGCAAAGTGATTTGTAGGCAGGAGTCATTCTCAAGAGTAATAATAACAATGCTCTGCTTTTTTTCTCAGTGGATGAAGGAGGCCGTTCTATACAACCTAAAATATTGACACTCAACCCAGTGTTTCTTTTACTCTCCATTTGCCCTTTACTCTTGAAAAAGCAGGATGATTCTAATTTAAAATTTGATGTCTCAAATGCAGACAACAGGGAGGATTTCTTTTGTAGCCCGGTGCCTTTAATCCCATCCTAGATTTTGGGCCATTTGTTGAAGGGGTGACCTCTGAAATCCTGCATACATGAGGGTGGTTTCTAACCAGCTGGCAGACTGTGAGATCATTTTGAAGATTACAGTTTGCTGCGGAATGAGAAGGACTGGTTCCCGTTTGTGACTGAGTATTCAGTGCTGTATTCACAGACTATTAGAGCTGGAAGGGTCACAGGGATGATAGGATCCAGCCCACTTGTACAAGGGCAAACTGAAGCCCTCAGGTGTTACCTGGTTTGCCCAAGATCACAAAGCTGGCTTGTGGCAGTTGCGGGAGAGGAACCCAGTTCTCCTTTCCAGCCTGCGTTCAGACACAGCACAGTGCTGCCTTTGTTCTGAACTGCTCATTTAACTTTTCTTTAAATTTAATCTTCCCTACTTCCCCTACCCAACCAGACTTTTACAAGCAACAGGACAGTAAGGCAACTTGCTACTGAGCTTTTTAGCAAATGATTCATTTCCCTAAATCACTTCTTGCAAAGCAGTGTGTCCTCCACGGCTTCAGCAAGAGGAAAATGTGTTCATTCAGAGGCAAGTCTGACTTTCCTCCTGCAAGGCAATCACCTAATGAAAGGTTCTTTCATAATGTCCCTGTACAAGAAGCAGAGATAAAACCAACTTTGAGGGATGTAAGTCGAGACCCTTAAAGAGTGGGCAGTACATGCAACCTTATCTCCCAACTTCCTAGCTGGTGTGTGTCTAGGTTTCAAGCTGGATGTTTTGCTGATGTAGAGCTTTTGCTTGATACATTTTGTTGGTCCTCTTTCCAAGGGTTATTGGATACCCAGTGCCTGCTTATTTTTTTTAAACAACTTCCTCTATCTGGAGTATCAATTCATATATTTATATATTTTCTCTAGTATTCCTAAAAAGAAGCTTTAGGGTAGATTTTTCCTACCTGCTTTCCCCTTCCTAGTAATTATCGCCACAGAAATCGCCTGAACAAGAATAATTACCAACAGTTAAATTACCTATTTTTAAAAATTCCTACTGTAGATGCTGTTGTAATTTTTAGGATGTACATGGCTAAATGGGTTTACACATTTTTCTCAGTGTCTTTTGTTACTGTGTTAGGTTTTCCGTAATGGACAAAAGGGGATGTATGTTTATTAGCATCTATAAGTCTTAAAGAAATTGCCTTTTGTATTTTGCCAGAGTTTATTTTTTAGAAATTATGAATAAGTATTCATTGAATTGTACTGAATGCAGGTTACCATTTTTGAGCTATGAAATGGAATTAAACATATCTTTTAGTCATCTGTTTATTGACTGCTGTACTACAAGGGTGCTGTGGGAACATAAAGAAATGTAATATGTGGTTCTCTGACCTTGAAGGGCTTAGAAATGTAATAAGGGATGCAAGACAAATTCATTTTAAAAAGTTAGACTAAAGGACACCAGTTAAAATGGCACATGATTAAGAATTTGCTAGAAAGCAAAGAATAAACTGCTGGTAAGAAGATGTCTAAATACCAGAAAACTATTTTTTTAAAAGATTTTATTTACTTGAGAGAGAGAGAGAGAGAGCGTGCGCGCGCATGCGCGCACAAGCACGAGTGGGAGGGGGGTGGAGAGGAAGAGGGAGAAGCAGACTCCCCACTGAGCAGGGAGCCCGATGATCCCAGGACCCTGGGATCATGACCTGAGCCGAAGGCAGATGCTTAACCGACTGAGCCCCCCAGGGCCCCTAAATACCAGAAAACTATTATTTTTGTTGTTATTATGTAAGGGAGCAATGTTTAGGCTTTGAAGAATCCCCACTGTTAGTAAGAAATCCCTATAGTAGAGAATGTACAGTTTAAAACATTAATTATCTTACTGTCATCTAAACTTTTATAAACTGTTCTATTTAACCAAAGTGAAATTAATGACATTCCTAAGGTTATACAAAGTAGCTGTGTCCTAAAGTCAAAATTAAAATTAAGGGATTAAGTCTCAATACTGATGATACAAAATAAAAACAAAAACAGACATTTACTGTTTGCTAGTCTGCCAGGTGCTCTGCTAAATGCTTGTATTTTTAATCTGACTTATTTCTCAGAATAATCCTATGAAGTAGGTTCTAGTTTTAGCCCCATTTCACAGGTGAAGGAACTGGCTTAATTAGCTTATATTAGTAAGGAGGCTGAGTAGGGTTCCTGAACTCAGCCCTCCTGGCTCCAGAGTATTATAGCTTAACCACCACATATGCTTTTGTAGAAACGTTCCACCAATACTTAAATCCTCTTGGGTTTATCTACTTTGAGTGGAATTAGCCTTGATTTTTCAGCTGTATTTCTATCGATAAAGGACAAATTTTTAAAAATGTATTTAAATTTGCCCTTTGTGGGTTTTAGGCTCTAGATGAGCATTTAGCTCCCCTAATTTGTCCACTGGTGAGTTATAGATGCCTAAAGACAGGGCATGTAGCTATTTTCTCCTATGGAAATTTATACCCTGTAAATCTAGAAAGCATGTTAATTGGCCTGTAGAAATGGGTTTTATGAAAATTTAGAACCAGGATCTGCTAAATTTAAAAAGATAGTGACTGGACTTTAATTTTAAGAATAAAAATCAGGGGCGCCTGGGTGGCTCAGTCGTTAAGCGTCTGCCTTCATCTCAGGTCATGATCCCGGGGTCCTGGGATTGAGCCCCGCATCAGGCTCCCTGCTCCGCAGGAAGCCTGCTTCTCCCTCTCGCACTCCCCCTGCTTGTGTTCCCTCTCCCACTATGTCTCTCTCTGTCAAATGAATAAATAAAAATCTTTAATTAAAAAAAAAGAAATCAGTGCCCCCTTTTTTTTACCTTTTTACCTTTATTCCCTTTTAAAAATCTTGAGATGTATGTTACTCATTAAGAAAATATTTTGTGAAGACATCATCCATGTTTTTGTGAACTTTAGATAGGACTTTAGTAGCATCTAATAAAAAGGCAATTGGTTCAGAGCTTTCAGAGGACTTTTGCATTTTAAAAATAAATTTAAAAATCCTATTTCTGGGGGCACCTGGGTGACTCAGTCAGTTGAGCCTTTGGCTTGGGTCGTGATCTCAGAGTCCTGGGATCGAGCCCAGCATTGAGCTCCCTGCCTCAGCAGGGAGTCTGCTTCTCCCTCTCCCTCTGCCCCCCCGCAGTCGTGCTTGCTCTCTCTGTCTCTCAAATAAAAAAAAAAAATCTTAAAAAAAAATGCTAGGGCGCCTGGGTGGCTCAGTCGGTTAAGCGACTGCCTTCGGCTCAGGTCATGATCTTGGAGTCCTGGGATCGAGTCCCACATCGGGCTCCCTGCTCGGCAGGGAGTCTGCTTTTCCCTCTGACCCTCTTCCCTCTCGTGCTCTCTATCTCTCATTCTCTCTCTCAAATAAATAAATAAAACCTTTAAAAAAATAAATAAAAAATAAAAAAATTCTATTTCTTGTTCTGACTGTTGTCGTTAATTTTCTAAGTTGTTTGGGTCAAATCTGTTTCTTGTAGCCTGATTATCCAATGGGAGGTGTCAGCATGGCCCTTTTCCCTGTCCAGCTGCCACACTGCCTTGCTGACTCCTCCTACCCTTGGTAATGGGGTCCATGTCCAACTTGCATCCCTGTCTTCCACTGTTTTCTAGTATGAAACCTTAAGGTCATTCAGCCAGGTCTGCTAATGTGTTCATTCATATAGAAAGATCCAGTAGTGTCTGGGAGGTAGCAGAGACTTAATAAATGCTCATTCCTTCTAGCCACCCAGCCTCTTCCCATATTTGTTACCCTCTTCCATTTTGGTCCACCCAAGTATATCCAGTTCAAGGTCTAAACATGAAGTTTCTTGTAATAATTTATTCTAGGGCAGAAGGATCTTTCATTTCTTGGAGCTGTTAGGCATCTGATGGGTACCATTCAGCATATTGGTTTTGTCTGAACTGAAAGCCTCTTGAGGACAGATGTCTTGTTTTGTTCCTCCCTGTCTACCCTAGCACTAAGCTGCTAAACATTTGGCTGGGTGCTTAAGAAATATTTACTGATTGTCAGACATTGTATACTCTCTTCAAAGGCAAAAATTCATAGTATTACCTAGGTGAGTTTGTTGGGAGATTATGTTCAGAATGAAATGAGGGAAAACTGTCTACTTCTCACTTGTATCCTTAGAACCTCATTCTGTTTCCTGAGGCCAGGATTACCTAAAATTGAGGTCCATACTTGAGAAGACCATGTACTGGTCACACTTCTGAGATCTTTAATTTTATGATATGCTTTTTGGTTTAGGTTCCTTTAAACAGGATAAAGGAAGCTGAACATCAAATCTTTGCTTAAGAACTAGATGGTGAACCATTTTAAGTTCACAGAGAAGCACTTTAACAGTTAACATTTGTGTTTTCCTGAAGTATGTTTTACTATCTGTAACATTTTAGAAAAAAAAATTAAGGAAGTTAGACCCCATCTTTATGACTTCCTGTTTTTATTTTCTGTGGCTTAAAATACCTATTCTTAGAAATCTTCTTTTATTTCTCTAATAATAGAAATGATAGCTGAATGAAGTTTCTTCTGGTCCCCATTTTGTAGGACTATTGAGTTTTAGATCTATCTTGGGGGTTAAATTCAGATTAAAGGCTTGATAATTCTGGTCAAAATATGCTCTGAAATTACAGTATTGAAGAGAAAATGATAAAGCTTACCGGATGGTGGTTTTGATAGCTAGTTGTATGTGGCTCTTAAAAAATATTAAAAATTAGGAGTGTCGTAAGATCTTTACCTGAAAACTTTAGCAGAAGAACATGATGCATCACTCTTGGGTTATTAAAGTGTTAGAATTTTAAAAATCCTATTATATACTGCTTTTCTGGTTCTTTGTTGTTTTATATCTGTTTCTTATTTCTCTAAATGTATCGCTTATTACCTCTCTATAATCCGATATATTTTGAGTATGGAGTACATCTTTACTTTTCCTCTATTTGGAAACCCAGAACTGAATTGGATTATAGATTATGGGCCTGTTCTGCACTTTCAGGTTTATTAACTTATTTTAATATACAATCTTTGAGGCAAGTACTATTGTTAGACCCAGTTTATAGATGAGGAGACTGAGACACTTGCTCACGGTCAAATGTTTACACCTTGTACTGTTTATTATCTCTCACGTGTGCAGGGCACTGACATAGTCACTGTGCTGAGATAGAAGGTGTTTTAGGTAAGCATATCTGAGCTGTCTTGGGATAGCTTGCCTTTCCACCGTACTGTGATCTGCTGGGGAGACTTGGATCAAGAGAGGCAATTAACAGCTTTGGTCCTGAGCTTTATACAAAATTTGGATTTTCTAAAGTCGATAACCACCACCAAATCTTCCTGGTATAAAAGTACAGTTAGCCCAGTTTACCAGTTAATTCGTACAAAACCTCATCAACAGCTAATTGTTAGTCTTGCCTTCTTTAAAATAAATTGTCATATTTGTTATTTGTCTAAACTTGCAGGCAGAAAGGCAATATGTAGGAAAGTGATCAGGTAGCGTTGTGGAAAACTCCATGGTTCTGACTCAGCATGAAGCCTGTCAATTTTCAATTTTCAGGACTCCCTTTGCACAAGTCTTGCATTGCCATTAATAATTGTTTATCTCTAAACGGTAATTATTGGAGTTATTGTCCAGTGGACTGGAGTTTCAGTTTGGGAAGGTGAAAAAGTTCTGTAGATGGGTGGTGCTGATGGTTACACAACAATATGAATAGACAGAGTACCATGGAACTGTATACATTAAAAACGGTAAATTTTAGGGGCTCCTGGGTGACTCAGTCGGTTAAGCGTCTGCCCTTGGCTCAGGTCATAATCTCAGGGTCCTGGGATCGAGTCCTATGTCAGACTCCCTGCTCAGCAGGGCGTCTGCTTCTCCTTCTCCCTCTGCCCCTCCCTGATTAGTGCTCTCTCTCTCAAATAAATAAATAAAATCTTTTTAAAAAATGGTAAATTTTATGTTATGTATATTTTAACCACAGTAGAAAAAAGATTTTTGAACCGAAAAAGCTAATTATTTCACCCAGGCTTAGGTGTGTAAGGCTTGTCACTTTGTGTGACTTGCTGTTGGTGTTGAGTGGTACGAGCTAACAGAACACAGCGAGGTTTGTGAAGCGGTGTAGGGAGGCAGTTCTAGTCTAGCAGTTACAGATGCCGACTGGAGCCAGACTGCCTGCGTTTATGTCCTGGCTCTACTACTGACTTGCTGTGTGACCCTCAATAAGTTACTTGGCCTTTCTGGGCCTCGTCCCTATTGAAAAGTAGAGATGATAATAGCACTTATTTCATGGAATTTACCGTGAGGATTAAATGTGATATAAAAACACTTAAAATACTACCTGTCACAAAGTCAGTGCTAAACGGATAAAGATCTAGTTCTGAGTTCTCAGTGATATTACTGACATAAATGTATCTGTAACTGTAAGTAAGCATAAATCACACATTTATTTTTTATTTTGTTTTAAAGGTAAAAGAAATAGGAGATTACTTTAAACAACACCTCTTACAGTCCAGGCACAGAGGAGCGTTTGAACTGGCTTACACTGGCTTTGTGAAACTTACTGAAATACTAAACAGGTAAACAAAACAAATATCCTTTTGTGTACATTTTTAAAAGACTAAATGCACAAACCATGCGCTCGAAGTAAAATTTACTTGTGTCTTTTGATGTTTAAAAGAATAAGACCTAATTGGCTTCAGACTCATGGAAGAAATTGTTTTCTTAGGTTTCGTTGTATGAGTTACTGCAGATGATTGAGTGACATGTCCAAACCAAGTTGTTCTCCCATTGAAAGGTGATTTGAAGCAAACTCAAAGATTTCGCTAAAAATAGCTTTGAAGTTACCATTTCTTTTCATTGAATGAAATGACTGTTTTGTCTGTTTGAAAATTACTTGGCATTTGGAATAAAATAAGCCTTCCAGGTTTTGGATTTGTGTATATTACAGAGAAACACTTAAGGATTTTGTGTTTTTCTTTATAATTTTATCTTATAGAAAAATTTTAAAGAACAGTAAATGACCACAAAGTATCAAAGATTTTTCCCCTTTACCTGGAAAAATACTTAGGTAGATTTCATATATTTAGCCAAATGTATTTTTTTGACATTATAGGTGCTGATAATTTCATTCATTCATATAATAGATTTCCTCCAAAGAGCTTGTAAGGAAACCTTAAATTACTTAATGACTAAGTGTTCATGGCAAGTGTTCTCTAAATAAAAGGTAGTATTTTCCAGGAAAACATTTCCATTGCCTGGAAACTTTTTGAAATGAAGCAAAGTTCTGCCAGTCTTGGAGCCTCAGCAAACATTTTATTTTGGGCTGGTAAGACATCTATTCCTTGAATATTTTTGAAACACTTTTTTCACACTCCTGGTAAAAACATTAATAGAACATTTTGCAGTTATGGGCTACACAGAATATCTTTAAATGATACATTATAAAATGTCCCTGACATTAAAATGCTGATCTTGAAAACATTTTATTATCTTTTCAAGTCTCTCTTTCCAGTGTAGACATGACTTAGGGATATTTTTTTCTCATAACACAACACACTTTACTCCCTTCAAATCAGTTATCAAATATATATTGAACACTAGTTGTGTGCTTAGTACTGTGTTTGGATTGGAGTTTATAGTACTTCTTTATAAGACAAGGGCCCTGTTCTTAAAGAGCTTATTGTTTAGTGTAGGAAATAAGCAGGGATGAAATTCAAAATATTTAACAGATGGTATGCCATGAGTACTGACTGGTCAGAACAGACACTGGCTGTAAGCGCTCAACATTGCTGTATGTATGGATGTGTGTTAGCTGAGTACCAGCCTGGAAAGTGAGACCAACACACTTAAGCAAGATAAACAATCCAATGTAATTGTCAGATTTTGGGTGAAATTTACAAATGCTGTAGGAATAACAGAGAGAAAGCAACAGAGATAGGCTGGTAGGACTTAATGGAGAGGAGGTGGTATTTATGCTAATGCATGAGCAAGGTTTAAGTAGATAGGAGAAAGAAGGAAACTTTGTGAGCAGATGTTCAGAGGCTAGAATCAGCATGGTATATTGTTAGGTAAGTAAATAAGTAATCCTTATTGTAGCGGTGGTGGTGGTGATGGTGGTGATGGTGGTGGTAGTGGTGATGGTGGTGGTGTTAGTAGGCAATACCAAACAACTGGACAGATTGAGACCAAATTAAGGATATTTAGAAAGTAGGTTTGCTGTAGTGGGGATGGAGAAAGCCATTGAACATTTTTGATCTGAGATAAATGATAGGATGCATTGTAGAACAGAGAAATAGCAGTGAACTTTGACATAGCCTCTTAGTTCTGTTTATATTCACTCCATTTATTGGCAGTGAGATTATACAAAAGTTAATCTCCTTAACTCTTATCTCGTCATCCCTAAAGTAAGGAAAAGAATATTTGCCCTATTGACAGATCTCTGGCTGATATTGTATAGATCAAGTTTGCATTATAAAACTTTCTACAAATGGAAAACATCAGTGAGACTGGTATTGATTGTAGTGTTGGTATGCAAAAGAGGTTTTCCGGTTGGAACTATTAGGTTAGATAGATTGTAATGGCAGATTACAGTGAGGAGGGCCTGGAACCAGTTATAATGATCTAGATCTAAGGTGATGAGAGCTTCTTCCTCTGTGATGATGGCCCTGGGAATGGAGGGAAAGAAGTGACATGTCAGTTAACATTCAGCCCCACAGAGTAACAACTCCACTTGCAACGTATTGAATGCTTAGAAGGAAGCTCTGTATTTTATTATATTTACATAATATATTTATATAATATATTTCATGATTTTATGTGTCAAGATTTAGGGCAAGGCTCAGCTGGGTGATTCTTCTCAGTGTATTTACTAAGTACAATTGGTGGCATTGAGCTGACAGATGAACTGGTCGAGAGGATCCAGGAGGCTTTATTCGTATTATGGCAACTTAGTGGAATAGCTGGAAGATTGGGCCAGGTTGGGACTACATGTTGTCTCTTTGCATGGCAATCTTAAGGTAGTTGACATTCATGTATGGCAGCTGGCTTCCTCCAGAAAGAGTTCTGAGAGAACCAGGCAGGAGCTTCATGGTCTTTTCTTTTCCTTTCCTTCCTTCCTTCCTTCCTTCCTCATGGTCTTTTCTGACCTAGCTTCCGAAGTCTCATAGCATTGCTTGAGTTATAGGCTAGTCCAGATTCAAGGAGAGAGGAGTTAGACTCCATTATGTGTTGGATGGTGAAGTGGTAAGATCATGCTGTAGAAATACATGTGGGATGGGAGATACTGTGTTGGCCATCTTTGAAAAATGGGATCTGCCACATGAACCAACTGAATGTGAGTGATGGAGGGCACCAGGGAGTCCACAGTTGTTCCTGTGGTTTAATTCTTGGTGAACAGAACAATGGGATTAATGTTAACAGAGGCAGGGAAACTGAAAGTTTGATAAAGGTGAATAATTTGTTTTGTATGTGTTGTGTCTGAGATGATGATGGTATATACTGGTGGAAATATATAAGTCAGAACTTGGAGAGAGAGGATTAAGTTTGGGAGATATAACAGAAACAGAGATGTAGGTTTAGGAGTTGTCATCATAACCATTGTAGTTAGTAGGATTGCAGTCTTCAGGGGATAGCATAAAAGGCGAAAAGAACAGAGGACCAAGGACAGAGGCTTTTGAACAGCTGTAGTGGGTGGTTGAACGGTACAGTTGAAGACATTCAAGTAAATGAAACAGGGAGACTAGGCAAGCCCCAGTGTCTGGTATCTCAGCCACTCCTAATCTGCTTTAAAAATCTTATGATTGTAACTGTTGGCTTTTAACCAACCTGTTATGAGTTCTCAACTGTTGCTTCCAAACCAAGTGGTTCTTGGTCCCTTTGGAGACATTTCAGATCTGCTGAACAGAATGTTTTGCAGAGAACATCTTTACAATGTGTGTGGCTTCCTTTTGTTTGGTTTTTATTTTTAAAAGAAAATGTGTTTCTTTTGGATCCTTTGGAAAGCTTGTTATAAGCTCTTAAGTTATGAAAAAGTTATTTTTCATACAACTTTTAAAAAGTTTGCAGAAAGAAATCTGGGCTTTCATGAAACTCCACTGAAATGGAGGCCAACTGCTGGCCACCTCTTGAACTACAGCTGTGTTAGGGAAGGAAGCACTTAAAGAGATTAATGGATAAATAACTGAAGAGTTAAACATGAGCCACATTGTTTGAATTGGTTTTTAATAAGATTATTCAAAATGTCTTCAAATGTAAACTGACTTCGCTATTAAACAATCACCTAAGAATAAATAGGAACGGGAGATGCTATTCTTTTTTTCTGGGAATTTTTTGGTGAAAGTGACACTTGCACACGTACACACACACATAAATAGTATGTTGAATTAATTTTCTAAAATATGATTTTCTTATATGGTGCTTTCTGTTTAGAATTTGATGAAACATGCATATACTCTCTTCAAAAAACATAAGTACGTGCCTAAGCATTTGATTGGAGTGGTTAGGTGCATGCGAATCATTACTCTAAACTCAAGTTTCTGATGAAATTTACATTTGCTTGTTTACCCTTTATAACCTTAGTATTTTAAGTTGTTCTTTCAGTGAAAATGAACAGAATCTTAAAGTCGGGTGTTAGGCCAGGGACTCTAGCTTTCATTTGTACAACCATAAATTAATCTTAACTATAAGGGGACTAAATTGTTGACTACAATTCTAAATGTAGAAGGGACATTCATGAATCCTTAATATTGTCTTATTCTGCATATATTTGAATTGTTCTGCTTATTGAGATATAGCTTAACCTACAACTATTTATTGCAATAATTACAGGCATTTTCAATTATTGGCCTGAAAAAAAATGAACAACTGACATTTAGCAGTTTTTGTCATAAAATGCTAGTGCTAACTCATGGACCAACAATGATAGGTAGACAGAAGTAATATAAATATGTATTTAAAATTTCATCAGTTAATTACAGCTACTACAATTTAAATTCAATAGAAGACTTCTTATGAACAATTGAATTATAATAATGAAAAAATAATTTCCTCTACTCTACTGGAGAATGAAAGACCAAGTCTCTAAAGAATATGCGATTGAGCAAGAAATAAGTGTAGAATGTAATGTATGAGATTTGGGGAAAAAAGTCATTCAAGTGTTAATAAGATAAAATACAATCTTGTCTAAACCTTTATTCACATCTGCTTTGGCAAATGTGTCTAAATAAGACACTTTTTTATTTCTGAGTGTCCTATGAATTTTATTTAAAACATTAATAATTAAATAAGGAATAACTAAGTGATAATCCACTCTGGGAAGCCATATTTTTTCTTTATATAAAGAGGAAATCCTTTCAATTTCCCAGTTCTGTAGCAGATTGAAAGGATTTGTCGAAAATTAGGATGTTTTAATATTTAAATTCTAAATCTTGGTGTCTTTGGTTTTTGGCCCCTGAATTTTTATTTTTAAGCCCACTCCATAGTTGAGTCAGGTATTACCTTCTTTATGGAACTTCGAATACTTGTTTTTAAAGTTCTCATAGTAATCATAGTAATACTGAGTCATTTAGACGTAATAACA